CTGTCCAATGGATAATGACAATGATCCTCTTCATGAAGAAGGAACCCAGGTAGGAGAAGGTTTATACTGTCATGAAAGGGTGACATCAGTTCCCTCATTTCACAGAGATGCCACAGCCATCAAAAGAGCTCGAGTGCCCATCCTGTTATGACAGTGTGGGGGAATCATTTCAGACAACACTGTAAATGGAAACTCTACATGTTTATGGAGTGTGCTCCCGGGAAAGTCTGCATGAGGACCCTAGCACACTAGCTGGTGTGATTCTCTTTCTTCCTCTAGTCTCTGTGACAAGGAGGACCTGGGGCCTAAGGAATAATTACTTTCCCTCCCTCTCTCACTCCTTCCCTCCCTCCCTCCTGCCCTCCTCCTTCCTTCCCTCCCTCTGTCTCTCCTTTTCTTCTGTTCTCCCTCCCTCTCTCTCTTCTTTCTTTCTTTTAATCATATTAAAACAACGACTTGACTTAGCACCCAGAGCTCTGGAGGACAAAGCCATGACCGAGTTTGTAGAAAACAGCAGAGGTACCTTGAAAGACAGCACAAGATCAACTAACTACAAAAGCAGGAGAGAGGAGGGCCCCATCATCATAGGCATTCTCTACTCGATGTCCTTCAATACACTATTTTGGTGGCTGTTTTAAAGGACTGTTATCCTAGTTCTATGATTAAGTAAAAACAACTGAAGACAGAATGATGCATTTGGTGCATGGCCCCAGGGGAAAGCCCATCATGTCAGAGACACCACCATGGTAGGAACTTGAGGAAGCTGTTCTCATCACATGAAGAGGGAGATGAAGCCTTGTACTTGGGTAACACCTCCAGTTGTTAGGCGACCAGGACCCAAGGCTAAGGTGTGGATGCTGAGACTTTTGGGGTGAATAGTCCCACCTCTACAAGCCTAACCATGATAACACCTCATGGCATCGGCAAACACTAACTGAACTAATCACTTACAGCTGTACCTATAGCATTACTTCCTTTCAGGGTCCAGATACTGTCAATTTGATATTAATCATCCAGATTTTATTACAAAAGTGGTAGGGAATTTGTCTTAGGAAAGCAAATTTACAGCATAAATGTTTAAAATCAATCTCTTTATTAAACAAACTATTCATGGCACAAACATTTATGTAAAAGGCCAAGAAAATAGCTTGAAATGATTACATCTATGGTACTTGTTCCATCACTGCTTAGATGACAAAGCAAGCCATAAGTACTCACTAAATTGTAAATGACCTACCCAAGGAAGATGGAGCCTTATACATGAATGGAGGGTCTATATCCTCAAAACATAGGTGACCAAATTGTTACCATCAGTTAGAGAATGATCATTGAAGTGTCTAAGGGAGCCACTGGATATGAACGATTCTTGTCTTAGCCATAATTGTACAGACCGACTTTCAATGTAACACTTTCAAAGAGAGCAGAATGTTTAAATAGGGCCTCTGTGTATGCAGCCCTCTGGTGGTAAATTAGGCCTCTGTGTGGTTATGTATGCTGCCCTCTGGTGGTGTGGTCTTAATGCTATCTATTGTAGAGAGGGAGCAGTGACCAGCTTGGGAAACCCACAGAAACAACTGACCTGTGCAAGTGGGAGCTCACAGATTCCAGACGACAATGGGGAGCCTGCATTAAGACTGAACTAGGCCTGGGAATCCAGCATGGGACTGATCAAGACCCCCTGAATGTGGGTGTCAGTGAGGAGGCCTAGGGAATCTATTGAGTGCTGGGCAGCATATCAGTACTCATCCCGAGTATACACACGGATTTGGACTCCCATCCAACAATGTGAGGTGCACTCTCACCCTGAACTCTTGGGGGGAGGGTCTAGGCCCTGCCCTGTATGAAATGACAGACTATGGATACCCCCATGGAGGGCCTCACACCCCCCCCCCCCGGGGAAATGAGGGGATAATGAGGGGGCTGGGGGGAGGGCACGGGAGGAGGGGAGGTAAAGGGAGAGGGACCTGGAACTGACTTGTGAAGCAACCTTGTTTCTTATCTAAATTTAAACTGAAAAATAAATAAAAAAAAGACCCAACTAGGTCCCCTAAATGTGGGTGTTAGTTGGAGGGCCTGGGCAGTCTATGGGGCCTGTGGCAGTGGAACCAGTATTTATCCCTTGTGCATGAATGGGCTTTGGGAGCCCCTTCTTATGGATGGATATTCTCTCAGCCTAGATGCAAGGGGGAGGACCTAGGTCTGCCCCAAATGATATGACAGACTTTGATGCTCCCCCATGGGAGGCCTCACCCTCCTGAGGTGTGGATGGGGGGGGTGGGATGGAGAGATGGTGGGGGTAAGGGAGGATGGGAGGGAGAGGAACTGGGATTGGTATGTAAATTAATTGCAAATGGAAATGTAGGAACTTATACAAAGTCCTTGAGAAACCATCTTTTTTTTTCATGCCAGGAACATGGAGCATCTTTGTTTCTTTTCCTGTTAATGTGATAACAAATGGTGGGAAAGCAACTGATTTCAAAGCATTTTATTGCAGTTTTGTTTGTTATTGTTGTTGTTTTTATTCTTCTCCCATACATTACATCCCAACCAGAGATTTCCCCTCCCTCCACCTCCCTCTTCCCAAACCCATCCTCCATTTCCCTTAAAAAAAAAAAAGAGTAGGCCTCCCAGTGATATCACCGAGACATGGCACAGCGAATTATGACTATGCATAAACCCTCACATCAAGGCTGAAGGGGGCTCAATGGGCTCTCAGCCGAAGACCACAGTGCACCATGGCAGGAGCTGGAAGATGCTGCTGCCAACAAACCCCCGTTCCAGAAGCAGAAAACACACCATGGCCGGGCTCCCATGGCTCTCTGGGTTTTGTGCCATGGAATGAACAAGCCCAGAAAAGGGAACCGCATGGTTTTAGGGTATATCAGCTGCACACCACGGAAACCATATTGAGATTCCATCTGGAAATAAATTAGTGTTTGACTTTGGTTCTTATGACAATGCTGAATGCACCTGAATCCTTCCTAGAATGTCACACAAAGAACACTTGGCCTAGTTCCTGATCAGGTTCATGATTTTGTTTGTTTGTTTTATGAGCTTGACCTCCATCATCTCTCTGCATTCTTGTCTTCCAAGCTCACAAGAGAATAGTCAATGAATTTCTGCTTCCGACATGCTAGGACTTTACTTACCCCAAATCTCCACATTCTCTTTTACAACATACAAAATTAGTCCCAGGAATCCAAGATTCATTTCAGTAGGTTTACCAAAACAGCAGTGTCAGTCTTGGTGTAAAGTTTCTGTCACAGCTGTGGCCCCAGAATACTCCAGCATGTTACTTACATAAGCATTGAATTATGTGACTGCATATGAGGACAGAGGACATCATCATGGGAGAAATTCTGTTGGCAGGAGATGATGGGGCTGATCAAGCTGGTTACTCAGGTTATACAGGTAAGAAGCAGAGAACACCGAATGTTGACACTCAGCCAGCTTTCTCCTTGTATGCATTCCAGGACAAGACTTGGTGCATTCCATGGACAAGGCTTGGTGCAGACCAGTTGGGGTGTGGTTCTTCACACATCAACTTAATCCATATTTTCCTCAGTTGTGCTTGGAGTCTTGTCTCAGAGATGATTCCAGGTATAATTGACACAAAAATAAATGATAATGACCCATAGGTTGAAATTAACAATTAAAATTTTGAGAAAATATCCCAGGGCATGAAGAGATGGTTCAGTGTCTAGAGCACTTGAGACTTGAGCATGATTACTTGAGTTCAGATCACCAGATCTTCCAGACAAAACAAATAACAGTAGAAATGAGGACGTTGTGGCTCAAGCATCTCCAAGCCAGAATCATGTCCCCAGTGGTAGCAGGTAGAGAGATCACCACACACTGCGAGTCAGTTAGCCAGAGAATAAAACAGAACCTGTCTCAGATAAGAAGTGAGGCAACAACTAAATATGGATGCTATCCTCTCACGTAATTAGGCTCAAACCTCCTCCACATGTGACCCCCCAGACCTGCATACACACACATCATGTATGTCAAAGCCACACCCTCAAATGAGCACATGTGCATGCACACACATGAAGACATGTGTTATGTCTCTCTTTATGAAACCAGGTCTTTATCTCAACATGGTGAATGCCTTGCCTAAGTGCTCATTGTCTTCCTAGAAAGTTTCTAAGAGAAAGATTTTCAGATATTTTAATTCCTAGATAAAACATACAGTAAAGAAACTATATTATCAGTTTGCTGCATTACATAAATTTCTCCACCTTGTCTTTCTCCTCCCCTTCTTTCTTTCTTTCTTTCTTTCTTTCTTTCTTTCTTTCTTTCTTTCTTTCTTTCTTTCCTTCCTTCCTTCCTTCCTTCCTTCCTTCTTTCTTTCTTTCTTTCTTTCTTTCTTTCTTTCTTTCTTTCTTTCTTTTTTCTTTTAGATAGAGTAACCCTTAGTACACCTGGCTATTCTAGAAATAGCACTGTAGACCAGGCCTTGAACTCAGAAGTCTGCCCGCCTTTGCCTCTGCCTCCCAAATGCTAAGATTAAAGGCATGTGTCACCATGCCTGGCTATTTCTTTTTTTCCTTAAAACTGTATTAATAGAAGATATTGCAGTTTAACCTCCTCCAACTCTTACTAGATCCTCCCCACCTCCTGACCTGCTTAACTCCATGCCCCACCCCCATGTGAGTGGTATAAAATCCCAAAAGTTCATGTGATTTTACAGCATTCATCAAAACACAGTATTATAGACATGACAAATGAAGAAACTGATTGCCAGGAATTAAGAAGATAGCTGTTATGGGTTGGCAATTATGGCTATGATTGTAGAAGTACAACTGTCCTAATCTTAATTCTATTGGTTTTTACTGAACAACTTTTCCCTCCTACCTTGTACACAATTACTGCCCCAATGGCTAATATGCTGGCAGCTTGGTCCCCATGTGGCAATATTGAGAGGTGGTTTACTTGTAAGAGTCAGGGCCTATATATAGTGTGGCGGCCCAGGAAATAGGACTGCTGCTCCCTGCAGGAGTTAAGTTTGTTTTTACCTATAACCTGCTCAAGTCCTGCAGAAGGATTTTTTTTTCAGAGAGCAAGACTAGTCCCAGTTACTCTGGCTTCCTACCTCAAGATATCTCTCTCAAATATTCTCCCAAGGTGTCATTTACTGTGGTGTGACATCAACAATTTGGCCCTGACCTGAGTCCATGTTCATGAGACAGTATATTGCCTCTTGTCCTTTGACCACTAAAACAGTTAAAGACGGACCACAATCCAGTGTGTAGGGTTATGAGAGTGCTTTAGAGTGTTTGGGATACAGGATATAGTAATGTGAATTTAAAAATATCTCAAACATAATTTTAAAAGCTAACATACAGATGGACAGTAAATATGTCATTTTGTCAGTTATGAAATGAGCCTTCCAGGCTTGACATCACAATGGTCAGTCACTATGACTAATGTAGAATCTTTAGGTCTCAGTGGTTGGTCTGCCAACTGCTCTGGCTGCCTTTGGCTTCTAGTGCCAAGGATTAAGAGAAGTTTAGTCTACTGAAAGGCTCTCCATTCAAGGCTTCACTGGAAAGGTATTCTCTTAAGAACTAGTTCTGATCCTTATGATAGATGGGTGGGCTCGAATTATTCTGTCTTGTTTTCTCCAGATCATGTGAACTTGTTCTCCACTCAGCACAGCCCTCGTGAGAAACGAATCATTTTATGAAGTTCAGTGCTGATCCCCTCAGAAAGGAGATATCACGGTGTCAGGGGACAGAGGTCCTAGGACACGTGGGACTAAAGTGCTTGTAAATGAACATGCCTGACCAAGTTAGGAAGGAGGATTTATGTTTTGCTGAGCTTGGTCATTTTGCCCAGTGTGAGCTTGAAGGCCAACAGAATAGCAGTAGGACCTCAACCAAACATCTAAGAACTTTCTGGTTCTCAGAAATTTTTTAGTGTTTCCACATTTATTGTTGCTAACACCAATTTTACAAATTTGAACTCTGTTTTACCTAAGATAGGAATGGCTTTTCCAAACATCCTTATGTACTTGAATTTACATGAAACCAAGTGTGAATTACTTTGGCCTTCAGTCAAATTAGACAGCTGTTGCTTTCCACGACGTATGAACATCGCTATGACAAATATAGGGGTACAGCTGGTGATGCGAGTTACAGCGTGTGAAGGAGTATCTCAGGTCAGACCCAGATTCCTCCTGAGTTTGTGTCTGAAGTCGGGGCGTTTCAGCATTATGGACTTACCCTCCACCGCTGAAAGGAAAGCAAGCCACAGAAACAGCCTGTATTGTTTCTGTAGTCATTTGTTTACTCTGAACATCACAAGGAGAAGAGGTTTTCAATGCATGGCCTTAAGCTTTTTGTGTGATATCTTGCTTGTAATTCTTTGGGTGAGCACTATCACCCCAGTTGGTGTAACCACACAGGAATATGTATACACACAAATGTGCACTGTATGTTTAGGTAAACATAAGCTAACTTGATTCCTTGAGGGTTAATCAGACTTTCTATTTGTCTCTCAGCACTTCCTCTGCTTCTGTAGTGACCGTGGAATCAGAGCCTCCCTCTCCATGCTTCCCACTTTCTCCTTCAGATCACCTGCTTCCTGCTGGTCCCCTTCACAGTCCCTGCCCCCATGGTCCCTTTTTACTTCTGCTCTTTTTGCAGTTACTCCATGTTGTATATTCATTTTTGAGGATTTTGAGCTAAGAACTGCAGACGAGAGAGAACATGTGCTGTTTGTCTTTCGATGTCTCTGTTAACTCTTACTATATATTTTTTGGATTTCCATACATGTAACTGCAAAGATCATGACTCTGTTGTTCTATACAACTGAACAGTGTTCTTTTGTGTGCATGTACCACAATTTTATTGTCCATTCATCTGTTGAAGGATATTCCAGTTGCTCTATTTTCTAAATGCTGTGAACAGAGCAACAGTGAACACGGCTCAGCAGGTGTCTGCGGAGTAGAGTTGAAGTTCTTTGTGCATATGCCGAGAGGTTGGCCAGCTGGGCCATATGGCAGATTTCTCTAAGTCTCCAGACTGATTGTCCGGGTGGCTTCTTAAGTTTTTATATCCACTAACAATGAGTTTTCCTGGTTCCCCACACTTTTGTGTGTGATGGCCTTTGTTTTGTTGACCTTAGCCATTCTGAGTGGGGTGAGATGAAATCACAAACTTGTTTTTGATTGGCACTTCAAGAACTGATAAGGAAGATGAGCACTTGTTGAGATATTTCCTAGTCAAAACTGTCTTATTTGAGTCTTTCTTGAAGATTGTATCACAGTGACTTTTATGAACATATATTTATGAAAACATATAAACAAAAATCACATATACATATATGCACGTATATACAAACATACATGTATCTTGGCAAGTCCAAGTGAAAAAGACAGAGAATGGAATCAATGATTTAGTTAGAGTTAGAAAACTGAGTCTATGGCACTCTTCACATTTCTCATAAACTTTATCCTCCTGACCCCTGATTATGCTACTGACCTCTTGACTATCCAATTGACCTCTATCCTGTGGCCTCTGACTATCCTGTTGAACTCTGGCTATCGTGGTGACCTCTGACTATCCTACTGACCTCTGGCTATCTTATTGACCTGTGGCTATCCTATTGACCTCTGACAATCTTGGTGACCTCTGACTATCCTGGTGACCTCTGACTATCCTATTGCCCTCTCTCCTGTTGACTTCTGACTATCCTATTGCCCTCTTTCCTGTTGACCTCTGACTATCCTGCTGACTTTTGTTCTGTTAGTGTTTGCCCTGTCACAGGAGAAGCCTCTTTACTGAGATGGAAATTCTAAATGGGAAAGTCACAGATGCGAAAATCAAGAATCAACCCCTGATGTTCCATGGAGAAGTGGAACTCAGAAGAGGCGGTGTCAGTAAGAAGTGTCACCTCTACCTGTACAGAGATTTCTTGGTTGTGACGAATAGTTGGTATGCTTTACTTTCAGACTCCTAGTTACCAGAAGTCACAATGTGTCACCCTTACCGTGGGACAATCCAAGGGAATTTGCCCTTATGATTTTACAAATGTTTTGATTCCTTATTTATTTAACAATCCATGGAGCCCTTGTTTTGTCTAATGCCCTAGTAGAAAATAAAATGATGAATCTATACTAACAGTCATGCTTGTTTGCACATACCAATAACACAAACATTTTGGGATGTTATTAGCATAACCAACTATAGATCTGGCTATTAAGGGGGGAAGAAACAAATGGCAACCGGGGGGGATTTTTGAGAATAAAATTCTATTGTGGTACATTATTCATACTTCCAAGATAGCTTGTAGATTTAAAAATCCCTTAACAAGTTCATGGAATTGATCCACACACTCCAACTATAAAAAAGCAACCCCAGTGCAAAGAATGCTGGCCCTTGGAAAGAGGAAGCCCACACTGGATGGAGGAGAGACTTGTTCCCCAGAGCTGTGCTCCCACAAGGATGCTGAGAACATGAAGAGTTGGGGAGGCTCAGCAGTTCTGATCTGTGGTTGGCTATTCCACTTCCTGGATCAAAACCCTGTCTCTGTTGCTTTCGGCTATTAGCCATTCTGACCCTTCCTCACGCATGGAGTGGGGTCAATAGAGATTATCTGATGCTATTGAGGTTAAATTGAACAGCAATAATTTTTTAGGTTTCTTAGAAAATGGCAGTTAGCTATCCATCATCTCACAGCAGAATGGGTAATGTGTTCTTTAAATCCAACTGTTGACTCGGGTTTAAGGAAGCGTGAAACCTGAATTCATTGAAATAAGACCAAATTATTGAAATGAATGTTTCCTCTCTGTACATATGAGAATGAATAGTTAAAACAGCATGCTTCAAATACATTGTATAATCTATACTCAATGCAGATGTGGAAAGGGTACTGTCAGATCCTCCCAGAAGCACACTGCCCTCAGTGAGGCTTTACTGGATTCTATCTGCCCACTTGCTGGGCTGTGCCTGGAGGAATAGAGATGAATTGGTTCTGATTTGCTTATGCCATGAGCGCAGATTCCCCCATTAGCAAAACAAACTAACACAGATTTTCTTTAATTCTTTTTTAGGTATAAGATAACCTTTAAGATAAAATATGTCATCCCTCTGACATCCCTCTGGATTGGGGACTGTGTTGACACAGACTTTGTAGGCCCCAGTCAGGCCAGGAAATCCATTTTCCTAGGCTGGCCCATGGAGAACTTCATCGCCGCTTTCCGGTAATAACCAGAACTTGTTCCTTTGGTGGCACTGGGTGTGTATGGAAGGGCACAATTGACATTATAATATCCAGTACACACAGACAGTTTAAATGTAAAATCTGTTCTCAGAACTTAAAAGAAAAAAACATTTTAATATGATTGTATGAACACTGTCTCTTTATAACCTACTGTATTATTTTCTAAGAGACATTTCAACAGGCTTTCATTTTAAAATGAAACAAAAGTGGGAGTCATTTAAGGAACATCCTAAGATATTGATCATTGGGTTTTTAGCAGATGTCAATTTCCTGGTAGCGAGACTAAAAGGGTGTGCAGCCTTTATGGAAGGAAGTGTAGGGAGGAAGGCTGTGGGACTTCTTTTCCAGAATCTTAGATAGATGATCAGGTGTTATCCTAATAGATGAATATGTTAGGTACTTTTCTTCAGTAATATTAATTATGCCAGATAGCATCAAAAATTCCTTTGATGCCCCCAAATGATCAGGATCTTACTGTACTATATTATATTTCTGTCATAAATGTCAAGAACTGCAAGTGTCTGTTTATCAAATTACATATTTGATGACTACAGACAAGAGGCAAGACTGGCATCATTAGACTCTCAGAGGTGACTTGTGGGGAGCAGGCTAGTTTCCCATTCTCAGGCCACCATGTAGATAGGGACTGTCAGTGTGTCCTAGAGAGCTCTCAAGTGGCACTGATCTGAGGGACTCCCAGTGATGGTGTGGAAGCACATGCTACTCTGGACAGCCACAGAGCAGCTCTATATGAAACACACTAGCTACAGTATGAAAACGCACTAGCTACCATGTGAAAACACACTAGCTACCATATGAAAACACACTAGCTACCATGTGAAAACACACTAGCTACCATATAAAAGCACACTAGCTACCATATGAAAACACACTAGCTACCATGTGAAAACACACTAGCTACCATATGAAAACACTCTAGCTACCATATGAAAACACACTGGCTACCATATGAAAACACACTGGCTACCATATGAAAACACACTAGCTACCATATGAAAACAATCCAGCTACCATATGAAAACACACTGGCTACCATATGAAAACACACTAGCTACCATATGAAAAGTTCATCCATGAGGTCCACAATGTTCTGTCCTCCCATCAATCTTCCTCCAGACCTCAAGCCTCACCCCAGAGTTCCCTCAGCTAATACAGGTGTCTTCATGCTCTGTAACATACTAAATGTGGCCACAGCCCAAGCTCATCCCAGAGTTCCCTCAGCTAACACACATGTCTTCATGCTTTGTAACATTACTCAATACAGCCTCAGCTCATTACGTAAGGAAAACATTCCCAGAGATTTTTAGGGAGAAATCCATCATTGTGTCCTTCTCTCAGTCCTTTCTATTGTATCACTGATTTGCCAGGTTATTACATTTTATTTTGATTGTTCCCTTATGTTTGACATGTGATGAAGCAGTTTAAATGCATATATGTAAAGAGTTTGATGAGAAATTTCCAAGAGTTCTTCTTACACTGAGTGGCTGAACTTTAGATATGTTCATTATGTTAGGTTGGTTGTTCAGACCAGTTCTTAACACTAGTATCACTCATTTGTAGCAATGCATGTCACTCAGTGAATTTCATCTCTGTTGTTATTTTCCTTATGTAACTTTGAGGGATTAGAAGTGGTATACTCATACATTAGGGGCCGTATGGATGGCTGGTAGACCTCTCTGATAAATGCATCCCCAGAATAATACAGATGGGAAATCGGGAGCACTTGAGGAGCTGTTAGTGAAGTAAGCAAGAAATATGCTCACCATTGGGAAAAAGGACAATTGAATGGTTCCACAGGAAGTCCAACAACTATTCCATGTGAGTCGGCAGCTCTGATCCTATTTGTAGACTCATGTAAAATGAAAACACACTACATTAAAGACTATGCACAAAAATTTCAATAGCATAGTTCACTACTAGCAATAGTATAAGAAACTAAATATTCAACCATTAAATGGATAACAGAAATGAAATACTTTCAGGAAGTGTTCAATTTTATATATCTCTTGTATGATCCAATGCAAACAAATCTTCTACCTTTGCAATCTCTTCAGTCAGCAGGAACCCACAAGGCTCAATCTCCCTTTTATCTGGTGAACATCAAGCTCAGAGCAGCTGCCTCACCAGACAGGTCTCAGTTATCACAGATCACACCAAGTTCCCCACCACTGCCCACTTCTCGTCACTAGGAGGTCCTCTGTCAAAGGGCAGGTCTGTCAGGTTCCCAGATGTGTGCAGGACACTCACTTGATAACCACAGACCACAGGCTTCTAATATTGTGTCATGAAAGAAACTCGACTTTATATGATTTAACTTTTCTCCATCTTTATATTACAGGTCTGTGGACCAAAAAAGAGATTGGTGGTGTTTCCTTGAAAGGTAGTTTGCTGTGCATTTTTAATTCTGTAAGCAGTGATGAATGAATAAGAGTCTGTGCAACATACAGGCCTGTTCCCCTTGTTCTGATAGAGCTTTTAGTCTGTCCCTAGTCATCTTCTGGGCTAGATGGTCTGGCGACTATTGTAATTTCTCTCTTCTCTGTGTTTGAGGAAGTGTGGTGGCTGCCATTCTCATACGTTCCTCTTCTCCCTCCTTTATGTTGGAGCAAAGATTATTCCAAAAGATAATAGTACTGCTCAGACACATCACTGAAAACAAATGCTACTCCTTGTTCATAAACTCTGTAAAGTGTCGTCTACAGTAATGTACACAGGAATGTTTGAGAACTGGCACTGTTTCCTAATTGTCAAAACCTAAGACAGCTCTGTCTTCTAGAACTTACCCTGTTATTCCAAACCGTGTTTTTCATTTGATGTGCAATGATATTTCTGCTTAGTTCATCCATTTGCTTTTAACATGTTTAAGCATTGACAAACTGGATTGATGAACAAGTTTATTTCATATCTTTGTCTTTTTCTTGAATGTGAGCAGATCTATTAAACAGACAAAGGAGAAGTACCATGGGAGGAGTACTGCACTGGAGATATTCACAGATGACATCCCGAGCTCGAACACTGTATGTACCTCAGACTAAAATGATGTTATAATAATGATAGATGCAGAAAAGGAAGATGAGGTCAAGGAAGAGATGTTAGTGGAAGAATGGGGAGAAGTGGGATGAAAGGGGGAGAATTAGAGAGATAAAATGCAGGACATTGTAAGTTAAGTCAGTGCTACCAGGAAATAAGTATTTTCTTGTATACAAATGCATCTTTGCCTGTATAAAACAACTGCTAATTAACATGAATCAAGAGTAAGCCTTGCTAGCTACATTACACAGACATAGCAAAATGGGTCATACAAAATGACAACGAACTGAGTATTGGTGGTATTCTTATATTTTTGGTTGTGAGCCTAGCCTTTAACAGCTGAGCCATCTCTCTAGCCCTGGTGGTGTTCCTATAGAATCGTTTTCCTAAGCAGGCATTTAGTTTGATGTCAGATGTTGGTTTGCTGTATATTGTTTCTAATATGTTCAGGTATGTTCCTATTATCCCTGATCTCTCCAGGCCATTTAGCATGAAGGGTTGTTGGATTTTGTCAAATGCTTTTCCAGCATCTATTGAGATGATCATGTGGTTCTTCTTTTTCAGTTTGTTTATGTGGTGGATTCTACTGATGGATTTTTATATGTTGAACCATCCATCCCTTCATCCCTGGGATGAAGCCTACTTGATCATGGTGGATGATTTTTCTGATGTGTTCTTGGATTCAATTGGTCAGTTTCTTATTGAGTATTTTTGCATCAATATTCATGAGGGGTATTGGTCTGCAGTTCTCTTTCTTAGTTATGCCTTTGTGTGGCTTGGGTACCATGGTAATTGTAGCCTCGTAAAAAGAATTTGGCAATGTCCCTTCTATTGTGTGGAAGAGTTTGAGGAGTGCTGGTATTATCTCTTCTTTGAATTTCTGGTAGAATTCTGCATTAAAACCATCTGGCCCTGGACTTTTTTTGGTTGGGAGACTTTTGATGACCACGTCTATTTCATTAGGAGTTATATATAGGTTTATTGAAATTGCTTATCTGTTCTTGATTTAATTTTGGTAAGTGATATCTATCCAGAAAATTGTTCATTTCGTATAAGTTTTCGAATTTTGTGGAGTACAGGTTTTCAAAGTATGATCTGATGATTCTCTGGATTTCCTCAGTGTCTGGTTGTTATGTCCCCCTTTTCATTTCTGATTTTGTTAATTTGCATGCTCTCTTTCTCTCTCTGCCCTTTGGTTAGTTTGGATAAAGGTTTGTCTATCTTGTTGAATTTCTCAAAGAACCAACTCTGTATTTCATTGATTCTTTGTATTGTTTTTATTGTTTCTACTTTATTAATTTCAGCCCTCATTTGATTATTTCCTGGCATCTACTCCTCCGGGGTGACTTTGCTTCCTTTTGTTCTATAGCTTTCAGTTGTGCTGTTAATTCTCTAGTGTGACTATTCTCCAGTGTCTTCATGTGGGCATTTAGTGCTATGAATTTTCCTCTTAGCTCTGCTTTCAAAGTGTTCTATAAGTTTGGGTAGTTATGTTTCATTCTCGTTGCATTCTAGGAAGCCCTAAATTTCTTTTTTTATTTGTTCCTCGCCAGGAATGGTTCAATTGCGCATTATTGAATTTCCATGAGTTTGTAGGGTTTCTGCAGTTTGTCGTGTTGTTGAATTTTAACTTTAAACCATAGTGATCTGATGGGATACAGGGGGTAATTCCAGTTTTTTTCTATGTTGCAGAGTATGTGGTCGATTTTAGAGAAGGTTCCATGTGGGGCTAAGAAGAATATATATTCTTTTGTGTTTGGATGGAATATTCTATAGATGTCTGTTAATCCAAATTGTGTCATAATTTCTGTTAGTTCCTTTGTTTCTTTAAGTTTCTGGCTGGTGGCCCTGTCTAGTGGTGAGAGTGGGATGTTGAAATCTCCCAGTATATGTGTGTGAGGTTTTATGTGTGATTTGAACTTTAGTAATGTTTCTTTTATGAATGTGGGTGCCTTCATATTTGGGGCATAGGTGTTCAGAATTCAGAATTCACCTTGATGGACTTTTCCTGTGATGAATATGACATGACCTTCTTTATCTTTTTTGATTGATTTTAGTTTGAAGTCTAATTTGTTAGATATTAGGATTGCTACACCACCTTGTTTCTTGGGTCCATTTTATTGGAAAATCTTTTCCCAACCCTTTACTTTGAGGAAACATCTGTCTTTGATGTGGAGATGTGTTTCTTGAATAGAGCAGAAGGATGGATTTTGTCTTCATATCCATTCTGTTAGCCTGTTTCCTTTTTATAGGCAAGTTAAGGCCATTGACATTGAGGGATATTAATGACCATGGGTTGTTAATTCTTGATTGTTTTTGATTTGGTGGTGGTGGTGGCATTGTGTGTGGATTTCCTCCCATTTTTTCTTTAGGTGTTTGGTAAAGTGGGATTATCTATTGCCTATGATTTTGTGAGTGTAGTTAATTTAGTAGGGTTGGAGCTTTCCTTCCAGTACTTTCTGTAAGGATGGATTTGTGGATACGTATTCTTTAAGTCTGGTTTTGTCATGGAATATCTTGTTTTCTCTGTCTATAGTGATTGAAAGTTTTGCTGGGTATAGTAGTTTGAGCTGTCATCCATGTTCCCTTAGCTTTTGTAGAACATCTCTCCAGGACCTTCTGGCTTTTCAGACTTTCTGTTTAGAAGTTGGGTGTTATTTGCGTAGGTCTGCCTTTATATGTTACTTGGTTGTTTTTCTTTGCTGCTCTTAATATTTTTCTTTATTCTATAAGTTTGGTGTTTTGATTATTTGTGGCAAGGGGACTTCTTTTTGTGGTCCAGTCTATTTAGTGATCTGTCAGCTTCTTGTACTTTCATAGGCATATCCTTCTTTAGGTTGGAGAAGTTTTCCTCTATGATTTTGCTGAGTATGTTTTCTGAATCTTTGAAGTGTATTTCTTCACTTCTTTCTATACCTATTATTCTTACATGTATGTAATCTATGCAATTCTTAGACTTTTTAGTCATCCCCAGTGTTATTTACCCCTCCTCTCTCTCTCTGCTTTTGTGTCTTACCCCCAAATGTAGTATACCTTGCTCTATTTTCCCCATTCCCCCCTTCATATCACAGGTATCCTCCTGTTGTCCTCTCTAGAGCTCCTGTCATGGTCCTGTTGTCCTCTCTAGAGCTCCTGTCATGGTCCTGGTGTCCCCTCTAGAGCTCCTGTCATGGTCCCCCTTTACTTTCCTGTTTCCTACAGTTCCTCCAGGTTATGTATTCACATCTAAAGGTTTGGAGTCAGGAACCATAAATGAGAGAGAGCATGCAGTTTATCTTTCCAGTTCTCTGTTACAGCTCTAAATATAATATTTTATGGCTTCATCTATTTGCCTTCAGAATTCAGCTTTTCTTTTGTTGTTGTTGTTATGGTCTTGTTTTTTTCAAGAGAGGGTTTTTCTGTCATGTAGCCCTAACTGTCCTAGGACTTGCTCTGTAGACCAGGCTGGCCTCAAACTCAGAGATTTGCCTGCCTCCATCTTGGATTAAAGGTGTGCCCCACAGCTCCCAGACCCCAGAGTGTGTATATACCACATTTTAATTATCTAGTTATTAGTTGAAGGATATTTTCATTGTTTTCCATGTGTTATGACTAGGGCAGCAATGAACATGGCCAAGTAATTATCTGTGGAGTAGGATAGCTAGGTCATTGTGTATATTCTAGGAAGTGGTGCATCTTTTATGTGATACATTTATTTTTGGCTCTTTAAAAATTATCCTTACTGGCTTCCATGGCAGCTGTCCCTGTCTACAGTCTCACAACAGTGAATGAGTGCTCCCATTTTCTGTTTACAGTCCCACAACAGTGAACGAGTGCTCCCCTTTTTCTGTTTGCAATCTCACAACAGTGAATGAGTGCTCCCCTTTTTCTGTTTACCATCTCACAACAGTGACGAGTTCTTCCCTTTCCCCCATCATTTCCAGCACTTGTTGTCAGTTGTTTTCTTTATTTTAGACATTCTGACCAGGTGGTTTCATTTTGCATTTACCTAATTGCTAAGGGCAATGAACAATTTTAAAGATATCCCTTAGCCATTTTTATTTCTTCTTTGGAGGACTCTGTTCAGATGTGGGACACATCTTTCAACTGTGTCGATTGTTTTCTTGACTCTAACTATCTTCTATAACCTGGATATTGGTCGTCTGCCAGGCGAACTCCTGGCAGTGGCTCTCCCCCTTCCTCTCCTCTCTGTTGTCACTCAGTGGTGGATTCCTTAACTGTACAGAGGTTTCTATCCACTGTTGTCTCAGTTCCTGTGCATCTGGAGTCCTAGTCAGAAATTCCTTCCCCACACCTACATCATGAAGCACTGCCTACACTTTCTGCTACTACTTTCAGCATCTCAGGTGCCACATTGTGGTCTTCAATCCATTTGGATTTGATACTTTGGGGAGTAATTGATCCCTTCATAGTTTCTCTATTTATGCACGAGGACATCCAGCATTCTCAGCACCGTTTTGCTGTGGCTTTGTTTTTTGACACAGGGTGTATAGTTAAGGCTGTCCTGGGACTCTCTGTCCAGACCGGACTAACCTCAAACTCGGAGATCTTCCTGCCTCTGCCTGCTGAGTGCTGGGATGAATGCATGTGCCACCCCTGCCCACTCCCATCACCATCGTTGATGTTTTTAATGTCTTTGCCAAACATAGGGTGGCTGTAATTGTGTGTGCTCATGTTGAGGTCTTTGTTTTGGCTCTGTTGCTCTACAAGTTTGTGTTGTGTCACTACTCTGCATTCTTCTGTCTTGAAATCAGTAATGGTAAAACTTCCATCATTAATTTTTTGAACAGAATTGTTTTTGTTATTTAGGATATTTTGTGAATTCCATAAATTTTAGTATGTTTTACATTTCTGTGAAAAACATTGTGGGACTTTGATATGGGTTATATTGACTCTGCAGGTTGTTTTGTGTACAATGGACATTTTCATAATAGTCATTTTAGTGACTCATGAGCATGGGAGGTCTTTCCATTTTTTTCTCAATATGAATTGTATTGTCTTGATTCTTTAATCAGGAAAATTCCATTTGAAGGAATATTTTGCCTAGAAGAAGACAGAATTCCACTTCATAGTCCTTATTGTAGGAGAATCTCTTTCCTCATTCAGTTACTACACTGAAATAATACTATAACAGAGATTTAAATGTAGACAATAAATGTATGTGTGTGGCTATTGATGATAAGGAAAGACAATATATTTCAATGAATGTTACAAAGAAGCACTCCTATTACCCTCTGCTATCACAGGATTCACATGGATGTTGACTCTATAGTCTCTTCCCCAGTTGCATTTTTGTGTTCAATACGATGCTTCCAAGTTCATTACTGGAGAAGTTTAGTAAACATTGAAACAAAATACTTTGTTAATTTTGTGGGTGGGTGTTGCTTATTGCTTTAGACATTTCATATTTTCATTCTTGGAAACAAGTTATTTTGTCCTGTTACTCTCCATGCAACAGTTATTTTTTTTAATTTCTCTTATCATTTTTGAAAGTGGACTGAATAAATAGTCTTTTTTTATTTTTCAGTTTAAATTTAGATAAGAAACAAGGTTGCTTCACAAGTCAGTTCCAGGTCCCTCTCCCTTTACCTCCCCTACTCTCGTGCCCTCCCCCAACCCCCCATTATCCCCTCATTTCCCCAGGGAGGGTGAGGCCCTCCATGTGGTTGTCCATAGTCTGCCATTTCATTCAGGGCAGGGCCTAGACCCTCCCCCAAGAGTTCAGGGTGAGAGTGCACCTCACATTGTTGGATGGGAGTCCAAAGTCTGTGTGTATACTCTGGATGAGTACTGATCTGCTGCCCAAGGCTCAATAGATTACCTAGGCCTCCTCACTGGCACCCACATTCAGGGGGTCTTGATCAGTCCCATGCTGGATTCCCAGGCTGATGCCTGGGATTCAAGAGTTAACCTTTGTCAGGCCAGCTGTTTCTGGGGGTTAAACCAGCCCAGTCTTAATCCTGGTCATCAGTCCTCCCTCTTTGTTACTGGCTTTCTTGAGTTCAGCTCAGTACTTAACCGAGGGAGTCTACCTCTTCTTCAATCAGCCATGAATGAAGTTTCTGTTTCCCAGACTCTCTGGCCATGGGATTGTAGGCTGGCACTCCCCAGGTCTATGTCTAAAATCCATATATGCCATGTTTCTCTTTTTGTGACTGGGTTACCTCATTCAGGATGGTGTCTTCTAGTGTCATCCATTAGCCTGCAAATCTTATGATTCCATTGTTTTTTTCTGCTGAATAGTACTCCATTGTGTAAATGTACCACATTTTCTCTATCCACTCTTCGGTTGATGGACATCTAGGTTGCTTCCAAGTTCTGACTATCACAAATAATGCTGCTATGAACATAGTGGAACAGACATCTTTGTTGTATGAATGGGCATCTTTTGGATATATGCCTAAGAGTGGAGTTGCTGGGTCTTGTGGTAGGTTTATTCCCATTTTTCTGAGGAATCCCCATACTGATTTCCAAAGTGGCTGAACCTGTTGGCACTCCCACCAGCAATGGAGGAGTGTCACCACATCCTCTCCAGCATAAATTGTCGTTGGTGTTTTTGATTTTAGCCATTCTGACAGGATTGAGATGGTATCTCAGAATTGTTTTGATTTGCATTTCCCGGATAGCTAAGCATGTGGAGCACTTTCTCAAGTGCCTCTCAGCCATTTTAGACTCCTCTATTGAAAATTCTCTATTTAGGTCTGCAGCCCACTTTTTAATTGGGTCCTTTGGTGTTTTGGAGACTTGCTTCTTGAGTTCTTTGTAAATTTTGGAGATCAACCCTCTGTCAGATGTGGGATTAGTGAACATTTTTTTCCCATTCTGTGGGCTGCCTTTTTGTCTTGCTGACTGTGTCCTTGGCCTTACAGAAACTTCTCAGTTTCAGGAGGTCCCATTTATTAATTGTTGATCTCACTGTCTGTGCTAGTGGTGTTATGTTGGTCTTTCCATTTCTTAATGTCTGCCTCAATCCCTTTCTTTCAGAGATTTATAGTTCTCATTTAGGCCCTTTAGCCTTCTGTTAGATTCATCCCAAGATACTAGATTTGGGTTTGGTTTGTTCTTTTTCTATATTCTTGAGTTGTATCACTAAGTCCTTGATTTGTGCACTTTTTTATTATTTTAAAATTAATTTTCATTTAAATTTAAAACAATCTTATTGTACATACCAATCCCAGTTCCCTTTCTCTTCCATCCTGCCATTACCCCCACCATGTCCTCATCCCAGGCCCCATCCACTCCTCAGGGGTATCACATTATTTGGGGCAGGACCTAAGCCCTTTCCTGTGCATCTAGGCTGAGAGATATTCCTACATAGGGAATGGTTTTCCAAAGCCCACTCATGCACTAGGGATAAATGCGGGTTCCACTGGAAAAGGCCCCATAGACTACCCTGTCCCCCAACTGACACCCACATTCAGGGGGCCTGGATCAGTCTTATGCAAGTTCCCCAGTTGCCAGTCTGGAGTCCATGAACTCTCACTTGCTCAGGTCAGCTGTTTTTGTGGGTTTCCCCAGCATGGTCTCGACCCCTTTGCTCATCATTCTTCTCTCTCAACAACTGGATTCCAGGAGTTCAGCTCAGGACTTGGCTATGGATCTCTGCTTCTGTTTCCATCAGCTACTGGATGAAGGCTCTAGGTTGGCATTTAAGGTAGTCATCAATGTCGTTTTAGGGGAAGGGCATTTAAGGTACTCTCTCCACTATTGCTTAGATTCTTAGTTGGGGTCATCCTTGTGGATTTCTGGAAACGTCTCTAGTGCCAGATTTCTCATTAAGCCCATAATGGCTCCCAATATTAAGATATCTCTTTCCTCAGTCCCATTTCTGTTCTTCCCTCAGCCCTATCTTCTTGATCCCTCATGTTTTCCTTTCCCTTACCCTCTCCCCTATTCTTTCTACTTTTGCCCTTGTCCCTCCGGGGGGGGTCTCCTAATTTACTTGCTCCTTTCCCCCTTCTTGGGGAGTCCATGTATGTTTCTCTTAGGGTCTTCCTTGTTTCTTAGCTTCTCTGAAGTTGTGCATCGTAGGCTGATTATCCTTTTTTCTATGTCTAATGTCTAGTCATGATTTTTTTATTCATGTTTGTCTTTCTGTGTGTGGGTTGCCTCACTTAGGAGGTTTCTTCTAGTTCTATCCACTTGCCTGCAAATTTCAAGATGTCATTTTTTTTTACTTCTGAGCAGTACTCCATTCTGTAAATGTACCATATTTTCTTTATTCATTCTTCCATTGAGAGGCATCTAGGTTGCTTCAAAGTTCTGACCATTACAAATAGTGCTGCTATGAAAATAGCTGAACAGATGTCCTTGTCGTAAGAATGCGCATCCTTTGGGTATGTGCCTAAGCGTGGGATTGCTGGGTCTTGAGGTAGACTGATTCCCATTTTCCTGAGGAATCCCCATACTGATTTCCAAAGTGGCTGTACAAGTTGGCACTCCCACCAGCAATGGAGGAGTGTTCCCCTTTCTCCACATCCTCTCCAGCATAAACTGTCATTGGTATTTTTTTATTTTCGCCATTCTGATAGGTGTAAGGTGGTATTTCAGAGTTGTTTTGATTTGCATTTCCCTTATGGCTAAGGATGTTGAATGCTTAAGAATGGCTCATTTGGAGCTTTTATCTTATGCAATTAGAACTATAAAGTTGCTCCTATAACTGCTTTCAGTATGTCCCAGATGTTCTGTTGTGCTGTGCTTTCTATTTTCACTGAGTTCCAGGATTCGCTTTTATTTATTTCTTGATTTTTTAACTTTATCTACCTATCCTTCAATTTTGAGATATTTCATCTCCATGAGCCTTTGTTATTACTAGTTATTTGTTTGCTATTCATTTAAATCTGAGTTCATTATGCTCAGATAGAATGAATACATTGAGTTATGCCAGTTTCTCACAGTTTCTGAAGATTTGGTAATGACCCTTCATGCCATCTGATTTAGCAATAATTCTGCGGGCTTCTAAATAGAATATACATTGCTTGATTGAATGGAATATTCTATGTCTTTTAAATGACATTTAGTTAGCTTTAAATGTTTTCTCTTTAGGTTGGCACAATTATGTACATACAAATAAGCACAACTATTACAAAGAACATCATATACTTCAGTATATATTCACTTGTTTGGTAATATTCACTTATGTGTATGTGATCTGGTATAAATTACCATGGCTCTGAATGCTTAGCAATCTCCCAAGCATAGGAGTATTCTTTTATATAACTATTATTTGGCTGTGAACTTTTAAGATGTAACATTGGCGAGGACGCATGTGCGCGCATGAGCGCGTGCATGTGTGTTTGTGTGTGTTTCTGTGCCAGTGTCTATGTGTGTGTGCCTGTATGCATAAGTCAGAGGATAAGCAGAGTTGGTTCTCTCTTTCTACTATGTTTTCCAGGAATTTATTTCATTCACCAAGCGTCAGAAAAGCATTTTTACATGCTGAGGCATTGTCCTTATCATATTATATTTTGAATGCACCAAGGCTTTTGAGAGATACCCATTATATCCTAAAACTTCTTACTGGTCTCACACTATGTGAAGGAAAGAAAATCATAATCAATTCTCATGGTTTCTATATGCTTTTCTCTGTCATTATTTCTAGTAAGCTCTAGTCATGTGTGGTAATAAGTGGGTGAATAACTATTAAATCAAAGGATTTTATATTGTTAATTGGCAAAATACTTTTCTCTGTGTTTTCTACAGTCTTTCACTGTAACAGCAACACATTTGGACACAGTGAATGATATAATCATGAAGTTACAACCATTGCTGGGAATACCCGTGAGTGACTCCAAAACTCTTCTTGACTTACCAACTTTTATTTTTGTGGTCCATACACATTTAATGTTCGTGCAAACATTGCTATCAGATTCCTGACTATTCTGTGTCAGTTTGCTGCTCTTTCATCTCCACTTGAAGCAGCACGGACAGCCAGCATGCTACCTAAGGCCCTAGGTAGGGGCTACTTTATTATTCTGTGAACTTTCATGTGAATGAAAACCCATAGCAGGCTGGGCGTGGTGGTGCATGTCTTAAATCCCAGCACTTGGGAGGCAGAGGCAGGAAGAGCTCTGTGAATTGAAGGCCAGCCTGGTCTCCATAGTTCCAGGATAGCCAGGGCCATTACACTACAAACCCTGTTTCCAGAGAGGGAAAAAAAGAAGAGCCAATAAAAATAAAAATAATAGAACAATAAATGAAACACGTGTATGGTCAAGTACAAAACCAACATGAATTTTGATGTGTATATTTTATGTGAACATATATAGGCATATATATGCAATGTTTGTACATATGTTTATATACCTATTTACTACTTGTTAATAGCACTTTCCAAATGTGTTTTTCAGTTGTTCTTTCTGTATTTTCTTTTCTATTTCCTGCTTTTTTATACTATTTTATTCCTTGAGGACTGTTTCAATAATTGCTTAATGACAGGTTTGATGCATAACTTGAATTATCATGTGATTAAAGTCATTATAGCATGGAAACCCAACAGATGATACCTGTGAAGAGGGTGATGAGGATTGAAAGAGACCATGGATGTTGCCACTTAATTATTCCTTTACTCGCACATTTTAATTTGTGTGTGTACATGTGTGTGCAGATGTGTGCAAGTGTATGTAGGGGCGTGTGATCATTGGGTGGAAATGCATGCAAAGGACAACTTTGTGGATTTGTTCTCCGGGTTTGGAGGCAAGCACCTGTATTTCCTGAGCCATATCTTCCCGCTCACTTATGCCATTGGCTTGAATACTTTACAGCATCTCTTTAGGCTCTGAGGGGACGCTATCCATGGTTGGCATTGCTGATAGCAGACTTGGGCATGTCTGAGGGATGGAGGCCAAAAGAGGAAGGTCAACAGGACCAAATCATTTAAAAAACCACTTTTGCAGCATCTTTCCTGTGAAAATTCCTTGTTATAACAATATATCTAGAACTTATATTTAAATTTTGTTGGAGTGATAAGATTAAATCTCTTGAGTCAGTATGTGACATAATTAGTCACTTCTATATATGTGTATAATGAAATAATTATTTTAAGCATACAGATTTTTATATTTTATAGCAGACATCTTAACATTGATATCCATCATGCATGATACATGTGTCTTTGTAAGAATTGACTATTGGGAGTGAATCATATAGTTCTCCTTGTGTACACTGACTGACAATGAAATGAACTTCATCTTGTTCACATTCGTGAATACTTATGTGTAAATGGTTTGGTCTCTCCAGCAAGAAAAGCAGTGTTTTAATATAAAGAGTCATGACTTTTTTTGGCTTTTGAGACAGGGTTTCTCTGTATTGTTTTGGAGGCTGTCCTGGAACTTGCTCTGTAGACCAGGCTGGCCTTGAACTCACAGAGCTCTGCCCGCCTCTGCCTCCCGAGTGCTGGGATTAAAGGCAAGAGCCACCAACACCCTGCAAGAGTCATGATTATTTGCTCATATTTGTATACATGATTTGTGGTATTCTAACTCATTTTATTAGCATGCTGCAGGGAAGTATTTTTATTAGATCTTAGTTCCTTTCTGCAACAATTTTGGTGACATTACTGTATCTCTCCCCCGCCCCCACTGTGTGTGTGTGTGTGTGTTTGTATTTGTGTGTGTTCTTGAAGAGCACATGTGTGAGTTGCACTTCTAATTGAGTCCTTACTGCAAAACAAAGCTGTAATTTTAATCGGGCATCAAAACATCTTAATACAGTAATAAACAATAACACCTTGTGAGGAGTATGTTTTCCATTCTGGTGGAGATGTGATATAGTCCAATAGGTTCTATATAATTTACGTGTACTTGTTTCAAATGTATTCCCAGTGGACAGTAATTCTGTGGAACTCATTTACTGCATTGGGACTATTTTCACTGCCAGACCCTTGCCCCTTCCCTTTGCAGATTGGGGATTCTCTGAAGGAAATCACATGCTGACTTCACACCCCAGTCTCCTCCAGGCCTCTCCGGCCTTTGTCTCTTTTGCTCAGACTTGCTGAAATTCCAGGCTTTCAAGGATCACTTGGCTCAGCCATCACAGTCACGGTGAAAGTGTGGCTCTTGGGCAATAATTTATCTAGAGCTGGTTCTTGTGATGAAAAAACTCAATGTTACTCAAAGAGCATAGGGAAGCAAGTGACTGGGATCTTGGGATGCTTTTTCTTACAGAGTAACTGGGAATGAAGTGAATTTTAAAAATTCTGAGAGTCACAAAACAGTGACAGACTTACTGCTTTGTGGCTCCTCGGATCTTTGTGCACAGGACGAAGAAAGCAGGGACCTTTGTATCTCTGCAGATTCAGGGAGGGGACAGAGGCCACTTCATAGAGCAGAATTGCTGGCCACGATATTTTCTAGCTTTAGAGACATGGAAATGGAAAGGAAGTTTGCACTTCATGTATCTCCTGAGAAATGTTCTTTGTGACACTTGTTCTCCTGTCTCTCAGAATGCTGAGGAGGATTACCAGCTGTGGTTCTCTTCTGGCAAGGAAGAAGCGCCATGCCCACTCCTCGGTAAGTGTGTGGTGTCCACTGAGCTCCACACTGTAACCCTACCCTGTCAAAGTTGCTGTTGTTTAGTCTCCAGATTAAATAGCCTTAAAGAAGATCTCCTATGTGAGTTCTTCTACACATCTAAGACACAATGACAGAGTCTTACTCTAACCCAGGTATATGATAAGAAGACATTTCTGGGAATTCGTTTTTGTAATTGGTAATTGGTTTTTTAAATATCTTTCTATTTAATTAAAATATAATTACATCATTCCCTCCTCCTAATTCTTTCTTCTACATTTCCAGTTGTTACTCCCCATCCCAAATGAAGGGGTTCCTTTTCTTTAGCCATCTTTGTTACATATGCGTACAAGAGAATAGAAATATTATAGGACTGACTGAATACTTGGTATCTGATAACCAATCAGAGGTCGCATCCCTGGGGAAGGCTAATGACACCCAGAAACTGTTTCATTGCTTGTAGCTCTTCATGCAGTTGTGGGGCCTCATGAGATTTCCCAGATTCACGCTGGCATGTCAACTGTTCTGTTTATATTTTTAGATTGACATTGGCGTGCCAGCTGTTCTATTACATTTTTTAGGCCATTGAGTTGCTGCAAGTTCATGGGTGCAATCTTATATAGAGAAAACACAATCTTACAGCAGTATTACTAATTATCTGGCTCTTACCATCTTTAGGCATCTTTCCCCATGATTTCCCATGAGTCTTAGGCATAGGAGTTCTGTTGTAGGTGCATCCATTGGTTTTGGGCCCCCCAAATCAGTTGTTCTTTTCATTTGACTCGTAGTAAAGGTTCCTGCTATTGCAGAAGGAAGCACCTCGGATGACAAGTGAGACCTACACTGGTCTGTGGATGTAAAGACAAAGTTGAGAATTCAGTTGTAGTTATTAGAGTTTAGAAAATGGCAGCAGTAGGTTCTCCTCTAGTATCCCGTGGCCAAATTAGTATGGAGTTGTCTAAGTTTACAATATCAGACACACTTTCTCTGGTGGGTGTCATCAAGTCATAAGTGATCCTATGGCAGCCTTCCAGATATCCCACCATGCTGGTCATTGGTGTGGTTCACAGGCCTTTGCTGTGTGAACTATTGAATGCGTCCCAGTACCATAAAAAGTCTAAAACAGTGAATCTGTACCTTCCCAATGCTGTAACCCTTTAATACAGTTAGTTCCTCATGTTGTGTTGTTCACCAAACAGAAAACGTTTTTCATTGCTACTTCATAAATGTAATTTTGCTACTGTTGTGAATAATGACATAAAAATTTGTTTTCTGATGGCCTAGACAACTCCTCTGAAAGGGTCTTCAACCCCCAAGGGGTCACAGCTCACAGGTTGAGAACCACTGGTGTAATCAGAGGAGACTTTCAGATCAGATGCAGTTCAAATCACCAGAGCCCCTTGTCCAAAGTGTAAAGTAGTTTCAGCAACAGGAATTAACTTCACCTTCTGGGAGGCATGGTTCATTTAGCATTATATGAGTAATGGATTTATATCCTCTTCAGCCCTTTTCTCTGACTATGTCCACCTCATTCCCCATCAAATACATTAAATTTTCTTCTTTAATTTTTCTTGCTATATGTGTATGCATATAAACCTCTCTAAGCCTATTCAGTGTTGCTCAAATGTGCATCCAATCCACTTGAGTTTGGATACCCTCTCAGGAGTGCATCCCTGAAGAACACCGAGTCTCCCTCTCTCTGCAAATATTCATTGCCTGTGGTACTTCATCTACGTACAAGGCCTGGGATATTCCCCCACACGCTGCCCTCTCCGTTGGTGTTTTCATCCCATTTAGGCAATCAAGTTGTTGAGAGTTCATGGGCTCGACTTTCCTCACATAGAGAAGACACAATCTCCCATTACCCACCATGCTCCTCTCTTAGAGCCTTCCTTCTTCAAGAAATTTTCTTGGAGAAGTTGCACTGTGCATGTACCAGGTGGGATGAGCACGCCATAGTCATGTCTTCTCTAACCAGTTATGGATTTCCACATATGATAAATCTCTTTATGTACAAAGTCTGGTTACTTGAAGGGAAAATGTGAACTTTTCTGCATTACAATGAAAAACCCTCAGAGATCTTCTACTCTTCTGGAAGTAAAAAAAAGTGTTAAGAAACTCATTTTTCAAAGTTAGTGTTCATGTATCATTTTTGTTATATTTGCTCCTCAAATGCTAAAATACAGCCATGGTCCTGAGTCTGTGATAGATCTTCATTGTACACATGTTCATATCAGAGTCTTTGCTCATTACAAAAGTTAAATGACATAATATTCACGCTCTTAAATATTTTTCCGAGTGAAAAACATACCCTTTATTTTATTGCATTTTGTATAGTGGGTCTTGGTGTGATTGATAGACAGGTCATACATGTTATAAAATAGATCTCAGAATATTTTAGCTATGAAAATATGTTGTTTTATTAATTGACCTCCCTGTGATTGACCGAAACAAAGACATTGGAACAGTGACACTGTAGTGAGGGCATCTGGAGATATTTGTCTTTTCTTAGATTTTCATTGCTTGATTTTATCTCATCTTGAAATTAAAATATAATTACAACACTTCTACTTTTGTTTCCCCTCCTCAAACCTTCGTATAACACCCCTTCTATTTTAAATTCATATCTTCATTTTTGTGGTGATTGTTGTTAACTGTTGTTACTTGTGAGTAGATAGATACATACATACATAAATATATAGACAGATACATAATACATACATAGGGAGATGATAGGTAGGTAGATAGAAATTGAAATAAGATAGGAGCATAGATAGATATGTCTATGATAGATTGATGGGTAGATAGATGATAGATTGATGGAAAGAAACAATATATGATTAACTGATAGATTGTAGAAAGAAACACATATGATAGATAGTTGATAGATTGAAGGGTAGATGGGTAGATAGATGATAGATACATAATTGATTGAAAGATGATAGATACATGACAGATACGTACATACATAGATGGTAGATAGATACATGATTGGTTGATTGATTGATAAATGATAGATACTAGATAAACAGATGGCTAGAGAGATGATAGATGAGAGAGAGAGAGACAGAGAGACAGAAAGACGGAGAGACAGAGAGAGAGAGAGAGAGAGAGAGATTGAAGGATTGATGATAGATAGACAGATGATAGATAGAACCTGCTTCTATTTTATCCTGGAAACACATCTATGCACACGTTGTAATATAATTAAGAAAGTTGTTAAAAGAAGTGAACCTTGATAATAAGAATTTTCTCATGTAATGTGTGTTGTCCCTGTTAGAATTCAAGGAGTACCCAGGACAAAGTAAGGTCAGCTGCAACCTCTCATTTCATAACATTTCTAGCTTGGAGAATATTCATCCGGGGAGAAATGAAAAACACAAACGGGTAAATGGAAAATTGTAAACTAGGGTGTGGAAAGAATACCAGGTAACACAAAAGCAACATATTTCTTCTTGCATGAGGAACTGCTGCGATGAGAAGGATGAGTGTTTAAAAGGGTTAACACAGAGGTAGGAGGTACACGTGGTTCCCCATAGTGGAAGTCAGAAAAGTAGACACCATAGAGAGTTTAAAGGATAGTCATAGCAGAAACTCTGCTATGATATGGTGCTATCATGTTCTGTGCATTCCGTGCAAGCCAATAGGTTCAGATTTTTCTCCTCTGTGTTTTGAAAGCCCTGTGCTTAGACACCTGCTTTACTAGAGCATCCTCACTGAGGATACCAGATACTTTAGGGACAACAGCCTTCTAATTCCAAGAGCATGGGGAGAACTGTATCTCCTCATAGTGTGTCCACACACAGGCAGGGAGGTGTGATTACTCATCACTGTTCGCATCAATCTATATTGAGAATTTTCTCTGTACAGGACATGAGAATCCATATGCTATCAAAATGAGTGAACATCAAAATGATGCATTTATGGCCCTGGGTCCAAGCAACTACACCGCTTATCTCAACATCCAAAAGGTGATCCAGGATATGCAGGCCCCTCATGTGCCAGGAAAACTCATTCTAAAGCCCAAGGAATCACCCCGAGACCATCAGCAGAGGAGTGAGTATCATCCCTTTAAGTTTTCATATTCCATGGCTTTTAAATCCTTCTGTTGCCTTTTCCCTGGGACATTTCCAATGATACCCAACTGATAATTACTTTTTCTAATGAAAGGTAGTATTAGCTTGGGATATATTTCACAAGAACAGATATACTCCTTAATATATTTGTGGGATGACAATTACGTGTGAATCTAAACCCATCTATATTAGTGCAGACATTGTTAAGGTTGACAACGGGATCTGTGGTGAACATTATTATTACAAAGAATTCTATGACCATGCATTGAGCTAAGCAATGATTTAGATGAACTGTATAAATAGTGCCCGATTTTTATTACTTCTTTGAAAGTTTCATACAGTGTGTTTTACCAAATTGAATTACGTTCTCCCAAGTGTTCCACGATCAACTCCCCTCTACAAGAATACTCAACTGTTGTCCACTTCCCCCACCTTAAAACAGTGGTTCTCCACCTGACTAATGTGAGCACTTAGTACACTTCTTTGTGTTGTGTTGTGTTGACTCCAACCATAAAATTATTTCATATCAGTAAATTTGATACTGTTATGAATCATAATCTAAACATCTAAAATTGACATCAAATGGGTCTTGACCCTAAAATTGAGAACCAAAGTCTTCAAACATAATAATATCAAATGAGATTTGTGTTTCCCATGTGCCCTTTGGTAGGGGTCATTCCCTGGTACATGGTCCACTTCTACTACAGGCAAACCCTTAAGAAAAACAGAATCTCGTATTGTAGCAGCAACCAATGGCCTGCACTGCCTCACTTAGGCCCGGGACTTTTTATCTCCCTCCCTCCTTGATGCAAAGCACCTTGGATGTACTGTAACAACTCTTCAGAGTTCATAGCTGGAAGTGCAATGTTATGCACAGAAAAGGTTTTGTTGACTTCAAAACAAAACTATTACATCTCTGACCATCTTTCTGCCCCTCTTTGTGTGATGATATTTGAACCTTGATAAGAGAAAATAAAATAGAGGCACCATATTTAGGGATTTGCCTTCCAAAGACTCTTTTTTTTGACTTATGAAGCTGTTGGCCTTGCTTGTTTCTTACTGGCTAGCTCTGACTTAAGTATTTATCCCATAATTGCCAATATAAGTATTTCTCTTACCGGAGAAGAGTTCCAGACACTTACTTCTCTGACGGGCAACATTGTGACTCCCTCTGTTTCTCCTACCCAGAGTCCTCTTCCAAAGACACTTCTCGGCCAGTTGTGGAAATCTGTGTGGATCACCATCAACTGGAAAGACACTTCTCTGACAGGGGTTGTGTGATATACTGATCTATGAGTATAAAAGCACACAATTAGCAGTCACTTTAATACTATTCACAGTTAAGCACTAGCATTTCCACTATGACCCCTGACCCATGTACCAAAACGGGTGCGTAGTATGGGGTTCATCTTGTCTGTTGGATCTTCAAACCCATTCAGAACGAGGTTGGCAAGCTTCATATCACCTGTGCCCCTATTGCTCCACTGACTATACCTTGCCAGGCCAGTGTTATAGTTGTTCATAAGGTCACAGCTGGGTAGTTCTGTTACTTTACTCTTCCCGTAGTGTGCATAGCACAGTAGAGCTGACTTACAGCATTATATGAGTTTCAAATGGATTCCCTGCTTCTGTGAGTCCAGCAATAGAGTCCAACCCAAATTTTGGAGAGTAAGCCAGATCACTGGCAGTGGTCTGTATGTTTTGGGATTCTGTGAGATCCTCTCAGTCCAGCAATTTCCAAGCATTAACCTATTTCTGCCTTTGGAGGTTTTATTTGTTAGCTTGTGGAGTCTAGTAGGGACAATATTGCCAAAATATCAGATAACTCAATTTAAACATTTTAATAAGTAAATGTATATATTTTAGGAAGCATATAAAGCAATATATTTCCATAGCACATTTTCAAAACATTTTTAGGATTAATTATCCTTTTTATAAACTCTCCTATTTTGCCTTCTCATACTTAATCTATTAAACCTTTGTGTTACATTACTCCCTTTGCCCCATATGTTTAATATCACTTGTTTAGAAAAGCCTTGCCATATTCTTTACTTGCTTCCCAGTTTCTATATGAATTACAAATAAAATACACTTATTTACAGTTTTGAGTAGCCAACTCACTGTAAGGTTGTAGACCCAAGATGTACAGTGAGCAGAGTTTATTTAAGGAGTAACCTCCCCAAAAGCCATGTGAACATTTAAATGATAGTATTTGATGGGATTGCTGCATCTTCTCCATGGCCTGTCGGTTCAGGATTACCTACTTAGCACATGTGACCATTGATATACACATTACGGTACTCTACTGAGAGACCATCAGACTTCTGAAATGATGATCTCCGTTCTCCTCAGATGCAGAGACAACAGTTAGGAGACGCTCCCGCCTAAGACGGATATTTCGCCGTCTAGGGTCCACCTGCCATGACTGTGCGTGTTTCCGTTCTCCATCCCCAACTCCTGGTCGCCTCTTTAATAACCCTCTAGGGGCTATTTGTCAAGATGGCAATCTGCCAACTTCAATTCTGGTGAGCATGGTGTTTTTCCTCTGTGGCCATCTGAGCAGGAAAGTCTACAAATGGGAAAGCATTCTCCTCAGAGTAGCGCTAAGAGGACATTATAGGCAAACATCAGTTAGATGGGGAAGCCTCCAAGTATCACTATTTAGGAAAAGTATCCGCAGATTGTTTTGATGAATCATGGAAAGCACAACAGGAAAATGCCTTCTAGTTCCTTCTCCTGTCCAGCAAGGTACACACTGACTCTCTGAGTCTAATCAGCCCCTAAGATGTGATGCTCTGAAGCATCCTCACCTCATAATCAGTTTCTTTCTTGAAACCCACAGTGTCATCAGACATAACCCTATGGTCATTTCGTTGTAGCCTGACCACTCTTCTAATCTAAATATCTGGCATATTTTGGTTTGCATACCAAGAGCTTAAATATAAAACCTTACCATTTGCTATGTATTAATCCTCTCACTCTGACAAATTATGTCAAAAAGACCCATATTTTGGACTATGTTACTCTAGAAAGTAACCAAACTGTCAGTAGAGACACAGAATGTCCAACACTTTCACCATCGTGATGTTTACACTGCATAGGAACCAGGCTATCATTATCAGACTCATGAATGATAGTAGAGTAACCTTACTTAAGTCATAAGACATGGAAGTAACCATGATGTCACCATCCAGCCTACGCGAACTCAATCACTCAAAGTCCTAGTCTCATTGTGTATGGTACCCAAGCTTCCATGGTAAATCACAGACAGGGTAAATTGTGGTTCCCATGGCTTCATGGCATAGTTGAAACTATGAAGACAGAGCAGAAGGAGATGAAAGGCTCACTCAAAGGAAATACAAGTAGAAAAGGGCACTGTGAATATCAGTTTGAGCCTTGTTATACTTAGAGCCCTGGACATAATGAAAGTAGGAATAGGGTCATAATCAGAAAAGACTCCAAAGGGAAGTAGGATGACACTCTGGGGAAGGGCATTCATAGGAAGAACAGCAAAGTACAAGAAACAGTGTCCATGTCTAGAGACAGTTTGATTTGAGACCATCCATCACTGCAGATGAAAATCTGCTTCCAACGTGTTCCCAGTTCTCAGCATGAAATGTTAGAGTCGTTCTGAGAGAGGAACACCTGTAGGATCAATAGATTCAATCAGTAAGAGACTGGACCTGACAGAGGCTTTTGAAACCTCAATCCCAACCCAAATGACACACTTCTTCCAACAAGCCACACCTCCTAGTATTCTCATATAGATCACGCGCTGGTGACTAAATATTCAAATATATGAGTTTTGGGGACAATTCCCATTCAAACCATCACACACCCATTGCCTTGGGACTCATGAAGACTCATGCTGCTACCCTGCAAGTGTGGATCTATAATGGCAGGTACTTATGTTTCCCTACACAGACTATGCTGTCTCTCCTGGAGGAAACTGGACCTGCTGTTGAAGGCATTTTTAGAAAATCAGGAAGTATTGCAGAATGCCAAGACCTTAAGGACAAGCTGGATTTGGGAGAAGAAGTAGATCTGAGGGAGAAATCCATCTTTGTCGTGTCTTCAGTTTTAAAGGTATTTGGGAAGGTGGCTGAGAATGACGACCGGCATGGCCAGAGCTAGAGTTTGCATAACTCACTAATGAGTACTCAGTCAGCAGCACCCCTAATATGCCCTGAGTTCTTTACAAGCAGTGGCACAGTGGAGTTCCTCTTGGTATAATTTTTTGAGTAAACTGCTTCCTGTCTCAGCAATGAACTCGGCAGCCATTGGCCTAAAAATCCATAGAAGAGAGATTTGTGCTCTGAGTTGATTTAGTTAATTTACATGATGCAAAATTATAACTGATGTTTCCAAAACTCCCAAATGGCACCGTGGCTACTGGGTTCTCTGTCTTCAACCACTGTGACCACAAAAAAAGAAAACCATGGCAGAACTCTATCTTCTACAATGGTTTTGTATCACATTAATAGTAAATGCACTCTGTTATGTTCGTTTTCTCACTTCTTCTATCATGACATACCCTCACCTCACACTATTATGAATTGTCCCGGCCCGCAGGACACTCAACGTGGATCTTATGGACACCTAGGAAAAAGATGGGGGCAGGGGACACAAGGACGGATGCCAAGACAAGAGTCTGATCAAGGGGACAACTTTATTCATCTCAAAGGGATTTATATAGGGGAAGAGAGGAGGGGAAGGAATGGGCAATGTGCTGTAGCTGCCATGAGCCTGGCGGAGCGAAGGTCAGTGGGATGGGTAGGGCATCCTGTGTCCTCTGGTAACCTAACTGCAGATTCTAACTTTGTCTTTCACATTCCACCTTCTATTAAGCATATGCCCTACATAAGTCACAGGTCAGTTTCTGGAATTTGGCAGATAGCAGGGTGGTCCCGAGTCACCTACTTTCTATGAGGGTTGAGTCACGTCTTATGAGTATGTGAGGCAGCCGTACCTGCTTGATGGCTGGAGGTCCCTGACAATGAATGAGCAGTTACTAAGTTACATAATCACGATAATTAATCCGAGGGCTTTGCTGGAGATAGACAATAATAAGCATTTCAGTGACATGTAGAAGACCAGCATAAACAGGTTATCAGGAAGAATCTGAAAACTCAAAAGGAAATCACCTTTTCATTGAAGAGATAAGATGAAAACTCAGGCTGGCTTCTAAGTCAAGCTGTCTTGCCTCTGTTTCTTGAGTTCTGGATTTAAACCTGCATGGTACCAAACTTGCCTCAGTTTCACAGATTTTAGGAGCTAGATTTGCTACTTTATGATTTAATCATCAACTTTACATACTGACATATTTCCTGTGTGCCATTGAAGTGGTCAGCATATTGACACCTTTTTAAAATTTTTTTCTTTCAATTAGAAACATGCATGCTTCAAATGTCAATCCCAACTCCTCCCATTCTCCCTCCACCAGTCCCAACCCCACCTGCCCACCCCCAGCCAAAACTCCACATCATTCCCCAGGGAGGGCCAGGCCCTCCTTGGGGGGATTTCCAGAGATTATTATTTCATCCAGGGCAGGGCCCATGTGTCCAGGCTGAGATAGCATCAATCTATATGGAATGGGCTCCCGGAGTTCATTTGTATGCCATGGTGAACACTAATCTACTACCGAAAGCCCCAGAGATTTCAGAGGCCTCCTCACTGACACTAAATTCATGGAGTTTGGATCAGTCCCCTGTTGGCCTCTTAGCCATCATTCTGGAATTCAAGAGCTCTCCCTTGTCCAGTCAGCTGTCTTTGTGGGTTTCACCAGCACGGTCTTGACCACTTTGCTCATCACTCCTCCATCTCTGTCACTGGGGTGCAGGGGGTCAGTTCAGTGTTTAGCTGTGAGTATCTATCTGTCTCTGCTTCCATCAGTCACAGGATGAAGGTTCTAGAATATCATATAAGGTAGTCATCAACCTTATCATCAGGTAGGGCATATTATTATCGTCTTTCCACTATTACTTAGTTTTCCAGTTGGTATTATCCTTGTATATCTCTGGAAATTTTACTAGTGTCAGCTCTCTCCTCAAAGCTATAATGACTCCTACTATTATGGTATCGCTCATCCTGCTCTCCTCTATTATTACCCTGACTCAAACATCCTACTCCCCCATGTCTTCTTCTACCCTTCTCTTATTCCACTCTCATTTTCCTGGTTCCCTCTCCTCTACCCCCATGTTACCAATCTGCCCAGGAGATCTTGCCTCTTGCCACTTCTCTGGGGTATAATTGCATATCTCTTGGGAACCTCCCTGTTTCCCTGACTCACTGGCCTTAGGTTTGTAGGCTGACACTCCCCTGATCCATGTCTAAAATCCATATATGAGTGAGTACAAAACATATTTGTTTTTTCGTCACTGGGTTACCTCACTCAGGATGCTTTCTTCTAGTGCCATCCATTTCCCTTCAAATTTCAAGATTCCATTGTTTTTTTTTAATTCTGTGTAAATGTACCATATATTTTTTTTAATTCTGTGTAAATGTACCATATTTTCTCTATCCACTTTTCAGTTGAGGGGCATCTAGGTTGCTTCCAGGATCTAGCTATTACAAATAATGCTGCTATGAACATAGTGGAACAGACATCCTTGTTGTATGAATGGGCATCTTTTGGGTATATGCCTAAGAGTGGAATTGCTGGGTCTTGCGGTATACTGATTTCCATTTTCTGGAGAACACTTCATAATGATTTCCAAAGTGGCTGTACGAGTTTGCACTCCCACCAGCAGTGGAGGAGTGTTCCACTTTCTCCACATCCTCTCCAGCACAAACTGTCATTCGTGTTTTTTATTTAACCCATCCCGACAGGAGTAAGATGATATCTCAGGGTTGTTTTGATTTGCATTTCCCTAATGGCTAAGGATGTTGAGCACTTTCTCAAGTGTCTCAGTCATTTTAGACACCGCTATTGAGAATTCTCTGTTTAGTTCAGTCTCCAAGTTTTTAATTGGGCCTTTTAGTGATTTGGAGAATAGCTTCTTGAGTTTTTTTGTAAATTTTGGAGACCAGCCTTCTGTCAGATGTGGGGTTAGTGAATATCTTTTCCCAATCCGTGGGTTGCCTTCTTGACTTGCTGACTGTGCCCTTTGCCTTACAGAAGCTACTCAGTTTCAGAACGTTTCATTATTAATTGTTGATCACAGTGTTTATGATACTGGTGTTGTGTTCAGGAAGCGGTCTCCTGTACCAAGTCGTTCAAGAGTACCTCCCACATTCTCTTCTAACAAGTTCAGTTTGGCTGGACTTATGTTGAGGCCTTTGATCCATTTAGAGTTAAGTTTTGTGCATGGTTATAGACATGGAACTATCTGCTGTCTTCTACATGCCAATAACCAGTTATGTCAGCACCATTTGTTGAAGATGCTATCTTTTTTCCATTGTATAATTTTAGTTTCTTTGTCGAAAATCAGGTGTTCATACGTTTGTGGATTGATCTCATAGTGTTCAATTTGATTCCATTGGTCTGCCTGTCTATTTTTGTGCCAGTACCAAACTGTTTTCAGGACTACAGCTCTATAATAGAGCTTGAAGTCTGGAATGGGGATGCCTCCACATGCTCCTTTGTTGAGCAGGGTTGTCTTGGATATCCTGGGCCTTATGTTTTGCCATATAAAGTTGAGAATTGTTCTTTTAAGGTCTGTGAAGAGTTTTGCTGGGATTTTCATGGGGATTGCATTGAGTCTGTAGATTTCCTTTGGCAGGATTGCCATTTGTAATACATTGATCCTACCTATCCAAGAGCATGGGAGATCTTTCCATTTTCTGGTGTCTTTTTAATTTCTTTCTATAAAGACTCAAAGTTCTTGTGATACAGGTATTTCACTTGTTGGTCTAGCGTTACCCCAAGGTATTTTATGTTTTGTGTGGCAATATTAAAGGGTGATGTTTCTCTGGTTTCTTTCTTAGCCCTCTGTATACAGTACAGCTACTGATTTTCTTGAATTGATCTTGTATCCCACGACTTTGCTGAAGGTGTTAATCTACCTTAAGTGTTCCCTGGTAGAGTTTTTTTGGGTCACTTATGTAAACTATCATATCATCTGCAAATAGTGAAAGTTTTACCTCTTCCTTTCCTATTTGTATCCCCTTGATCTCCTTTTGTTGTCTTATTGCTCTAGCTAGAACTTCGAGTACAATACTGAAGAGGTGTGGGGATCAGGGACAGCCTTGGCTTGTCCCTGATTTTGGTGGAATCACCTTGAGTTTCTGTCCATTTAGTTTGATGTTGGCTGTTGGTTTGCTGTTTATAGCTTTTTTCTCAAAGGACCAACTCTTTGTCACATTGATTCTTTGTCTTGTTTTCCTAGTTTCTGCTTTATTGATTTCATCCCTCAATTTGGCTTTTTCCTGGTGTCTACTCCTCCTGGGAGAGTTTGCTTCTTTGTGCTCTAGAGCTTTCAGGTGTGCTGTTAATTCTCTAGTGTAACTGTTCTCTAGTTTCTTTATGTGGGCGCCTAGTGCTATAAACTTTCCTCATAGCACTGCTTTCAAAGTGTCCCATGAGTTTGGATATGATGTGTCTTCATTCTCATTGAATTCTAGCAAGCCTTTAATTTATTTTATCTTCATTCTTTGACCCAGAAGTGGTGCAATAGCACATTATTCAATTTCCATGAGTTTGTAGGGTTCCTGCAGGTTGTGTTGTGGTTGAACTCTAACTTTAAACCATGGTGGTCTGATAAGATACATGGATGTATTTCAATTTTTTGTAACTGTTGAGGATTGCTCTGTTGCCAAGTATGTGGTCAGTTATTCAGAAGCATCCATGTGGCGCTGAGAAGAAGGTATATTCTTTTGTGTTTGAATGGAATGTTTATAGTTGTCTGTCAAACCCAATTTGGTCATAACTTCTATTAGTTCCATTGTTTCTTTGTTAACTTTCTGTCTTGTATTCCTGTCTGGTGGTGAGAGGGGGTGTTGAAATCCCCCACTATAAATATGTGAGCTTCTATATGTGGTTTGAGATTTGGTAATGTTTCTTTTACGAATGTGGATGCCTTTGTGTTTGGGGAATAGATGTTCAGAATAGAGACTTCATCTTGGTGGATTTTTTCCTGTGATGAATATGAAATGACCTCCTTCATCTCTTTTTATTGATTTCAGTTTAAAGTCTAATTTGTTAGATATTAAGATTGCTACTCCTGTTTGTTTCTTGGGACCATTAGATTGGAAAATCTTTTCCCAACCCTTAACTCTGAGATAATGTCTGTCTCTGAGTCTGATGTGTGTTTCTTGTATGCACCAGAAGGATGGGTTCTGTCTTTGAATCCATTCTGTCAGCCTGTGCCTTTTTATTGGCCAGTTAAGACCATTAATATTGAGAGATGTTAATGACCTTTGATTAGTCACTCTCATTTGTTTTGGAATGGTTGCTGTTGGTGAAATTGTATGTGTATTTCCACCCCTTTTCTCTTTTTGGGTGTTGGTAAAGTGGGATTATCTATTTCCTATATTTTTCTGGTTGTAGTTAACTTCCTTGGACCGGAGTTTTCCTTCAAGAACTTTCTGTAGGGTGGGTTAGTGGATATGTATTGTTTAAATCTAGTTTTGTCATGGAATATCTTGTTTTCTCCATCTGTAGTGATTGTAAGTCTTTGATGGGTATAGTAGTCTGGGCTGGCAGTCCGTGGTCTCCTAGTGTTGATAGAGTATGCTATTCAGGACCTTCTGGCTTTCAGATGTTTCCATGGAGAAGTCAGGTGTAATTCTTATAGGTTTGCCTTTACATGTTATTTGGCCTTTTTCCTTAATTTCTCTAAGTATTCTTTCTTTATTCTGTATGCTGGGGTGTTGATTATTATGTGGCAAGGGGACTTCTTTGTGATCCACTCCATTTGGTGTTCTGTAAGCTTCTTGTATCTTCATTGGCATTTCTTTCTTTAGGTTGGGAAAGTTTTCTCCTATTTTTTGTTGAATATGTTTTCTGTCCCTTTGAGTTGGGTTTCTTCACCTTCTTTTATACCTATTATTCTTAGGTTTGGTCTTTTCACGGTGTCCCACATTTCCTGGATATTTTGTGTTAGGGATTTGTTGGTCTTAAGATTTTCATTGATTGATGAATCTATTTCTCCTAGTGTGTCTTCATCACCTGAGATTCTCTCTTCCATCTCTTGTATTCTGTTGGTTAAGCTTGCATCTGTAGTACCTGACCGTTTCCCCAGGTTTTCAATTTAGAGCATTCCTTCAGGCTGTGTTTTATGTTATTGTCTCCATATCACCTTTCAACCCTTGCACTCTTTGAGCTTTTTCTTGTAATATTTGCTTTGTGTTTTGTTCCATTTCTTGAATTTTTTGGATTTTTTATTTTTTGTCTTCTATTTCTTACATTTTGTGGTTAGTTTCTTCTTCCATCCCTTTAATGGATTTTGTCCCATCCTCTTTAAGGGCCTGTATCATTTTCATGAAGGTGCTTTACAGGTCATTCCCTTCTGCTTCATCCTCTTTGGGGTGTTCAGGTCTTACTGGTGTAGAACCTCTAGACTCTGGTTGTGTCATATTTGTTTTTCTGTTGCTGAGTGTGTTGTTACATTGCCTCTTCCACGTCACTTCTTCCAGTGGGTCTAGAAAGAGTCCCTTCCTCAAGTGGCGTGTAGGTGACCAGGGTTTCCTTTCAGTGGGTGTAAGCAAATCCAATATTCCCTTGTCTCCGTTCTCTGTCCTCTGCCCTCTGCCCTGAGTGTGGGCAGAAGAGGACCAGCTCGACTGCAGTTGACTTGGCTGCAGTCCCCAAGCCAGGCGATCCGAGAGAGGGCGAGTGGGATGAAATCGGGTCTAAGATGGGGACCTGGTGCTCACCTCTGCCTTCTGCTCTGAGTGTGAGCGGATGTAGACTAGCTCTCTCTGCAGCTCTTGGTAGTTTAGTAGTCCATGGGCGGGGTTGGGTCGACATGGATGAAGTCCCCAAGCCAGGGGATCTGAGAGGGGAGCATATTGACATCTTTAATATGATATTTAGTGGTCCAAATCTGAGATTGGCCAAAATTTTGATTGTCCTTTTTAGAAATTATTTTGTACAATGTCTTGTTGGTGTTTTGACAACAAACTGTTACTTTAATCCTAAGGAACTGAACTTTTACACAAGGAGCAGTGAATCATGGCACTGTTATCACTCCTGGAAAACACAGGTAGCATAGGACAGTCCAGTCCTCACATGTAATTCAAGACAGCATTTAGATCACTTGCCTTAGAAACTTTCAGACAAGAAGTAAAAGCTGCATTCAAAAGGGATAAACAAAATGCACATGTTAATTTATTGAAGATGTATGCATGCTGAACAATTGCATCAGCCTTTGTCACTTGCACCTGAGTTTGCAAACATCCTAGAGGAAATTTGACCTGGGAAGAGATTCATCCATGTCCCCACCACCACCACACTGTACTCTTAGGTCTCTATGTTCAGTACAGTGAATCCAAACCCCTCTTCTGCCTGTGCCAGTCAGTAGATCTCAGATAAGGTTCTGTGTGGGGAGAACCTGGGGAGTTTTGAAAGGATTGGGGTTAAACTTAATTCTTCAATTGACAATTCTCTCAGAATTTTCCAATGTAAACTTTCATAAGTAAAATGTGAATTTTTCATCTTTGTAAGGATTTTCTTCGAAACATCCCTGGAGGAGTATTCTCATCTAGCCTTTATGATAAATGGATGGCAGTCACTGATCTAGACAATGAGAAGGAAAGAATATCTTCCATCCAGAGGTAATAATGCACTCTTGAGTTGGAAGAACAAAATGCAGACAATGTATTCTTATAAATATGACTAAAGTCATGCTCAGCAACAAAGATTTATTTAGTCCACACATAATGTGCATCTTTTTAAAGGAGAACTAATGTCTAAGCACTTCAGAGTAGCAAACCCTGTAATCTAAGCATGAGACAGACGATTGTGAAGATTATCCTCAGAGTTATTCACTGATTCTAGGACAGCTGGGGCTACTTTATGAGACAGTCTCAGAAAACAAAACCAATGTCTTACTATTATGATTATATTGATTTTCTCCTAGTACAATTATTATAGAACATAACCCAATACATACAGCCTGAATAAATGACACAGTGAAAAAGAAATTCACTGTCCCACAGGACATACTTGGTCTTCCAGTCTGTTAGTGAATGATTTAAATAGTCTTAAATGATTATTGAACAGACAGGTCCATGTCCAAATATGGACTGAATTCTATGAAACATTTCTGTGTGTATGAACTCCTGGAATGAACTCTCAGATACCAGATAAGATTTGGGTTCTAATCTCCACACAGAAATGCATTTTACCAAAAATATGGCGGTGGTTGTGCACACCTTTAGTCCCAGCCCTCAGGAGGCAGGAGCAGGCAATCTCTGTGAGTTTGAAACCAGCCTGGTCTACAGAGCAAGTTTCAGTACAGTCTCCGAAGCCACAGAGAAACCCTTCTAAAAAAAAACAAAAAATATATTTGGATAAATTTTGTTCAAATGAAAACAAAGCAATATTTTAGGACATGTTACTGTTTCTTTTTAATCTCAATTAACTTTATATGGTATACAAATTTTTTTCAGTTCCTCTTTTCCATATTTAGAACTTCATTAGTAATATTTCCCATTTAAAAAAATTTGTTTCTGTTCAGTCTTTTAGAGCAGCTGCCAACACCAAACGTGGTCCTCTTGAGACAGCTATTCCAGGTCTTACACAGCATTGAGAGACATTCGTCAACTAACTATATGACATCTTATAACTTATCTGTGTGTATGGCACCCAGTCTTCTGTGTGTGCCTAACCGTAGCATGTTGGAATTAGAAAAAGGAATCTCAAAACAGGTAATGATATGTATAACTTTGTGCTTTGGTTCAGTACAATATTCTGCCCTAGTGTTTTGCAAGGAAGGTTCTCTTATTCATTTCTTCCCTTTAAGAGAGACAGAAGAGTAACCATTTCTGAGTTAGGCATCTTCCTCGTTCTATAACAAAAATAGATTAAACTATTCTATCTGGAGATGAATTGTTCATCTTCACCCATTTTTCAAATTTCTAACTTGTCCATAATTGATCCTATACATTTTCATCCCATGAGAAGAATATTTTAAATAGTTTGCCTGATCCAAAAATTGTGTACTTTTGTGAGGAATCAGAAAAGAATGAAGAGAGGCTAGGGACCCATCTTACTATCCATCTCTAGGCCTTGCTTCTTCCATCAGACCTCCACGTTAATCCAGGATCAAGCCTTCAACATGTAAGCCTCTTGGGGGACATTGAAAACTAAACTAGGGCACGTTTCATCTTTGATAATGGAAGAAGAAGCCAAGCAAATTTTCTAGATTTTCCTGGAAGTAAAAGTGGCTAATCAATTGACTAAGCTCAACTAAACATTCAGCTGCTGAACACCAATGCATGGAGGCAGTGATGGTGTTTCTTTGCAGATGCCTTCTTCCTACCAAGAAGACCCAGGGAGCTTTGGTGCCCAAAGTATACACAATTCATGTAAAACCTGAGTTCACTTGTTTTCCTTTCATTTGGTGGTTTGTAAATCTCAACAAAAACTCTATTCTTCACCCCATACTCTTTTTTTTTTTCGTTATTCGAGACAGGGTTTCTCTTTATTGTTTTGGAGTCTGTCCTGGAACTCGTTGTGTGAACCAGGCTGGCCTCGCAATCACAGAGATCTGCCCGCCTCTGCCTCCCTAGTTCTGGGATTAAAGGCGTGTGCTACCAATGGCCAGCTCACCCCATATTAGTTTATTAGTTCTCTTTCTCCTTGTAAGGACAAAAACACCCGAGAATGTGGGGGATTTAGCTCACAGCTTGACCTGATACAGTCCATTACATGTGAAGTACACGTTCAGGGACTTGAAGTACTGTACAATTGGCTGTGCAGTCAGGAAGCAGAGAACAAGGGGAGGAGTGCTAACCTGGCTTCTTCATTCACTCCCTTTCTGCTCATTCTGACTTCATGTGCAAAGGTTGTGCATCCTCTGTCAGGATGAGTCTTCGTCTTTAACTGATCCTCTGTACACACCTTCAGAGACAGACACGGAGCTGTGTCTTCTCAGTGAATATAATGCCATTCTAGTACAGCGAAGCTTGATCATCATACTGAATACCTAGAACATTAACAAATTACACTTTATTGATTGTATTTTAAGATCTGTTCTAGATACTATTGTAACTTACACAGTTTACTCTTAAAAGAAAACAACTCATATATTTTATAGCAATTTTGATTAGAAATTTGAATTTCAAAGTTCCCTACCTCAGTCTTCTATGTGAAATGTGGTTCCCAACCATATCAGATGACAGCTGCCATGTTTGTCCTTTGTTGTCAACAGATTTCTCTTGTACAGTACTTTATTGAGAACTTTGAAAAGATATTTGAAGACAACACGAATATACATTTAGGAGAAAGCTCAGTGATGCCTAGTAACGGCAAGGAGCCTTTGCATACTTCCATTAACGGCGAGGAGACTTTCGATATTTCCATTAACCCCGAGGAGACTTTGGATATATCCATTAATGGTGAGGAGCCTTTGGATACATCCATTAATGGCGAGGAGACTTTCGATACATCCATTAACCATGAGGAGCCTTTGGATACATCCATTAACGGAGAGGAGACTTTCGATATTTCCATTAACCCCGAGGAGACTTTGGATATATCCATTAATGGTGAGGAGCCTTTGGATACATCCATTAATGGCGAGGAGCGTTTGGATATATCCATTAATGGTGAGGAGCCTTTGGATACATCCATTAATGGTGAGGAGTCTTTGGATACATCCATTAATGGAGAGGAGCCTTTGGATACATCCATTAATGGTGAGGAGACTTTCGATAAATCCATTAACCATGAGGAGCCTTTGGATACATCTATTAATGGAGAGGAGCCTTTGGATACTTCCATTAACGGTGAGGAGACTTTCGATACATCCATTAACGGTGAGGAGACTTTCGATACATCCATTAATGGTGAGGAGACTTTCGATACATCCATTAATGGCGAGGAGCGTTTGGATATATCCATTAACGGTGAGGAGCCTTTGGATACATCCATTAACGGAGAGGAGACTTTTGATATTTCCATTAACCCCGAGGAGACTTTGGATATATCCATTAATGGTGAGGATCCTTTGGATACATCCATTAATGGCAAGGAGCATTTGGATATATCCATTAATGGTGAGGAGCCTTTGGATACATCCATTAACCATGAGGAGCCTTTGGATACATCCATTAATGGAGAGGAGCCTTTGGATACATCCATTAATGGTGAGGAGACTTTCGATACATCCATTTGCCATGAGGAGCCTTTGGATACATCTATTAATGGAGAGGAGCCTTTGGATACTTCCATTAACGGTGAGGAGACTTTCGATACATCCATTAATGGCGAGGAGCGTTTGGATACATCCATTAATGGAGAGGAGCCTTTGGATACATCCATTAATGGTGAGGAGACTTTCGATACATCCATTAACCATGAGGAGCCTTTGGATACATCCATTAACCATGAGGAGCCTTTGGATACTTCCATTAACGGTGAGGAGACTTTCGATACATCCATTAACGGTGAGGAGACTTTCGATACATCCATTAACGGTGAGGAGACTTTCGATACATCCATTAACGGTGAGGAGCCTTTGGATACTTCCATTAAAGGAGAGGAGCCTTTGGATACTTCCATTAACAGTGAGGAGACTTTGGATATATCCATTAAAGGCGAGGAGGTTTTGGATAACTCCATCGATTTGCGTGAGTTGGATGTTGTCCAGGAAGATGAGAAAACCTGTGCTAGTGAAAAGACACATCCCAGTCATGAGGCAGAGCCACCGCATCCACCTGCTGCTCCTCATGATGGTGAATACACAGGTGAGAGTTCATCTACACTCTGACAATGAAAATCAGGGTTAGAGGATACGCAGACACTCAGTAACAGCTGTTTCCCTGACAGCAGCATCAAAACATACTATATCAGCATAGATTAGACAACTTTTCTCAATAAAACTGTACATGGAAGCTCAGCCTTGTGCACGGTCAATATGCCCTATTGAAACCTATGTGAGGTGCCCGGTAGAGACACGTTTGTATTTGTCTTCTCTCTTCCCAGTGGTCCCAGAGAACACCCAGATAAAGGCACCATAATAAGAGATATACTATCCCGAGACTCTTTTTTTTTCAAATTATGAAGCTGTTGGCCTTGCTAGTTTCTTACTGGCTAGCTCCGACTTAAGTATTTATCCCATAATTGTTAATCTAAGTATTTCTCTTACCGGAGAAGAGTTCCAGATGTTTATATCTCTGGTGGGCTACATCTTGACTCCCTGTGTTTCTCTTACCAAGAGTCCTCTTCCAAAGACTCTTATACTCAGCACATCGGCCATTTGTGGAAATCTGTGTTAATCACCATTAACTGCAAAGACACTTTTCTGGCAGTGTTGTGTGATAGGCTGATCTATGAGTATAAAGGCACACAATTAGCAGTCACTTTAATACTATTCACAGTTAAGCACTAGCATTTCCAGTATAACTCCTGACCCATGTACCAACACAGGTTTATAGTATGGGGTTTATCTTGCCTGTTGGAACCTCAAACCCATTCAGAATGAGGTTGGCAAGCCTCATGTCACCTGTGACCCTATTTCTCCACTGACTATACCTTGCCAGGCCAGCGTTATAGTAGTTCATAAGGTCACAACTGGGTATTTCTGTTACTTTACTCTTCCCGTAGTGTGCATAGCACAGTAGAGCTGTGTTAGAGCATTATATCAGTTTCAAATGTATTCTCTGCTTCTGTGAGTCCAGCAATAGAGTCTAACCCAAATTCTGGAGAGTAAGCCAGATCACTGGCAGTGGTCTGTATGGTTTGGGGTTCTGTGAGATCCTCTCAGTCCAACAATTTCCAAGCATTATCCTATTTCTGGCATTGGAGGTTTTATTTGTTAGCTTATGGAGTCTACTGGGGACAATATCACCAAAACATAAGATAACTCAATTTAAACATTTTAGTAAGTAAATGTATATATTTTAGGAAGCATATAAAGCAGTATATTTCCATATCACAATTTCAAAACATGTTCAGGATTAATTATCCTTTTTATAAACTCTCCTATTCTACCTTCTCATACTTAATCTATTTAACCTTTGTGTTACATTACTCCCTTTGCCCCATATGTTTAATATACTCTGTTTTGAAATGCCTTTCCAAAGTCCTTACTTAGTTCCCAGCTTCTATATCAATTCCAAAAAAACTACACTTATCTACAGTTTTGAGTACCCAATTTACTGTTAGATTGTAGAGCCAAGATGCACTACCCTCCTATGCAGTGCCTTGTACAGTGAGCAGAGTACATTTAAGGAGTAACCTCCCCAAAGGCCATGTGAACATTTAAATGATAGTATTTGTGGGATTGCAGCGTCTTCTACATGACCTGTCTGTACAGGTTTACCTACTTAGCACATGTGACCATTTATATACACCTTAGTGTGCTCTGCTGTGAGACCATCAGAATTCTGAAATGATGATCTCCGTTCTCCTCAGATGCAGAGACAACGGTTAGGAGAAGCTCCCTCCTAAGTCAGATATTTCGCCGTGGAGCGTCCACCTGCCATGACTGTGTATCTTCTCGTGCTCCAGCCCCAACTCCTGGTCGCCTCTTTAATAACCCTCTAGGGGCTATTTGTCAAGATGGCAATCTGCCGACTTCAATTCTGGTGAGCATGGTGTTTTTTCTCTGTGGCCGTGTGAGCAGGAAAGTCTACAAATGGGAAAGCATTCTCCTTAGAGTAGCACTAAGAGGACATTATAGGCAAACATCAGTTAGATGGGGAAGCCTCCAAGTATCACAATTTAGGAAAAGTATCCCGAGATTGTTTTGATGAATCATGGAAATCACAACAGGAAAATGCCTTCTAGTTCCTTCTCCTGTCCAGCAAGGTACACACTGACTCTCTGAGTCTAATCAGCCCCTAAGATGTGATGCTCTGAAGCATCCTCACCTCATAATCAGTTTCTTTCTTGAAACCCACAGTGTCATCAGACATAACCATATGATCATTTCGTTGTAGCCTGACCACTCTTCTAATCTAAATATCTGGCATATTTTGGTTTGCATACCAAGAGCTTAAATATAAAACCTTACCATTTGCTATGTATTAATCCTCTTAACCTGAAGAATTACGTCTTTCAAATTTTGAACTATGTTACTCTAGAAAGTAACCAAATTGTCAGTAGAAACAAAGAATGCCCAACACCGTCACCGTAGTGATGTTTACACTGCATAGGAACCAGTCTATAATTATCAGACTCATGAATGATAGTAGAGTAACCTTAATTAAGTCATAAGACGTGGAAGTAACCCATGATGTCACCATCCAGCCTATGCCAACTCAATCACCAAAAGCCCTAGTATCATTGTGTATGGTACCCAAGCTTCCATGGTAAATCACAGACTGGGTAAATTGTGATTCCCATGGCTTCATGGCATAGTTGAAACTATGAAGACAGCAGAAGGAGATGAAAGGCTGACTCAAAGAAATACAAGTAGAAAAGGGCACTGTAAATGTCAGTTTGAGCCTTGTTATATTTAGAGCCCAGGACATAATGAAAGTAGGAATAGGGTCATAATCAGAAAAGACTCCAAAGGGAAATAGGATGACACCCTGGGGAAGGGCATTCATAGGAAGAACAGCAAAGTACAAGAAACAGTGTCCAGGTCTAGAGACAGATTGATTTGAGACCATCCATCACTGCAGATGAAAATCTGCTTCCAACGTGTTCCCAGTTCTCAGCATGAAATGTTAGAGTGGTTCTGAGAGAGGAACACCTGTAGGATCACTAGATTCAATCAGGAAGAGACTGGGCCTGACAGAAGCTTTTGAAACCTCAATCCCAACCCAAGTGACACACTTCTTCCAACAAGCCACACCTCCTAATAGTCTCAAATAGCACACTCCCTGGTGACTAAACATTCAAATATATGAGCCTATGGGGACCATTCCCATTCAAACCACCACACACCCATTGCCCTGGGACTCATGAAGACTCATGCTGCTGCCCTGCAAGTGTGGATCTATAATGGCAGGTTCTTATCTTTCCCCACACAGACTATGCTGTCTCTCCTGGAGGAAACTGGACCTGCTGTTGAAGGCATTTTTAGTAAATCAGGAAGTATTGCAGAATGCCAAGACCTTAAGGACAAGCTGGATTTGGGAGAAGACGTAAATCTGAGGGAGGAATCCATTGTTGTTGTGTCTTCAGTTTTAAAGGTATTTGGGAAGGTGCCTGAGAATGACGACCGGCATGGCCAGCGCTAGAGTTTGCATAACTCACTAATGAGTACTCAGTCAGCAGCACTCCTAACATGCCCTGAGTTCATTACAAGCAGTGGCACACTGGAGTTTATCTTGGTACAATTTTTTGAGTAAATTGATTCCTGTCTCAGCAATGAACTCTGCAGTCATTGCCCCAAAAATCCATACAAGAGGGATTTGTGCTCTGAGATGATTTATGTTAATTTACATGATGAAAAATTATATCTGATGTTTCCAAACTCTCAGCTGTCGCCATGGCTACTGGGTTCTCTGCCTCCAACCACTGGGACCACAAATAAAGAAAACCATGGCAGAACTCTATCTTCTACAATGGTTTTGTATTACATTAATAGGAAATGCACTCTGTTATGTTCGTTTTCTCACTTCTTCTATCATGACATACCCTCAGCTCACACTATTATGAATTGTCCCGACCCGCAGGACACTCAACGTGGGTCTGATGAACACCTAGGAAAAAGATGGGGGGGCAGGGGACACAAGGACAGATGCCAAGACAAGAATCTGATCAAGGCGACAACCTTATTCATCCCAAAGGGATTTATATAATGGAAGGGAGGAGGGGAAGGAATGGGTGATGTGCTGTAGCTGCGATGAACCTGGCGGAGCGAAGGTCAGTGGTATAGGTAGGGCATAGTGTGTCCTCTGGTAACCTACCTACAGATTCTAACTTATCTTTCACATTCCACATTCTATTAAGCATATGCCCTAGATAAGCCACAGGTCTGTTTCTGGAATATGTACGCTAGCAGGGTGGTCCCTCTGAGGGCTGAGTCACGTGTTATGAGTACCTGAGGCAGCCGTACCTGTTTGATGGCCGGAGCAGTTACTAAGTTACACAATCATGATAATTAATCCGAGGGCATTGCTGGAGATAGACAATAATAAGCATTTCAGTGACATGTAGAAGGACCAGCATAAACAGGTTATCAGGAAGAATCTGAAAACTCAATAGGAAATCAACATTTCATTGAAGAGATAAGATGAAAACTCAGGCTGGCATCTATGTCGAGCTGTCTTGCCTCTGTTTCTTGAGTTCTGGATTTAAACCTGCATGGTACCAAAATTGCCTCAGTTTCACAGATTTTAGGAGGTAGATTTGCTAATTTATGATTTAATCATCATCACCTTTACATACTGACATATTTCGTGTTGCCATTAAAGTAGCCAGCATATTGACATCTTTTTAAAATTATTTTTCTTTAAAATAGAAACATGCATGCTTCAAATGTCAGTCCCAAGTCCTCCCTTTCTTCCTCCACCAACCCCAACCCCACCATCCTCCCCCAGCCAAATCCCCACATTATTCCCCAGGGAGGCTGAGGCCCTCCTTGGGGGAATTTCCAGAGATAATCATTTCATCCAGGGCAGGACCCATGTCTCCAGGCTGAGATAGCATCAATCTACATGGAATGGGCTCCCAGAGTTCATTTGTATGCCATGGTATACACTAATCTACTACAGAAGGCTCCAGAGATTTCTGAGGCCTCCTCACTGACTCTGCATTCATGGAGTTTGGATCAGTCCCCTGTTGGACTCTTAGGCATCAGTCTGGGGTTCAAGAGCTCTCCCTTGCCCAGTCAGCTGTCTTTGTGGGTTCCACCAGCACGGTCTTGACCCCTTTGCTCATCACTCCTCCATCTCTGTCACTTGGATCCAGGGGGTCAGTTCAGTGTTTAGCTGTGAGTATCTATCTGTCTCTGCTTCCATCAGTCACAGAATGAAGGTTCTAGAATGTCATATAAGGTAGTCATCAACCTTATCATCAGGTAGGGCTCTTCATATCGTATCTCCCCTATTACATATTTTCCCAGTTGGTGTTATTCTTGTATACATCTGAAATCTCACTTGTGTCAGCTCTCTCCTCAAAGCTATAATGACTCCTACTATTATGGTATGGCTCATCCTGGTCTCCTCTATTCTTATCCTGACTCAACCTTCCTGCTCCCCCATGTCTTCTTCTACCTTTCTCTTATACGCCTCTCATTTTTCTGGTTCCCTCTCCTCTCCCCCCATGTTTCCAATCTGCTCAGGAGATCTTGCCTCTTGCCACTTCTCTGGGATATAATGCATATCTCTTGGGAAACTCCCTGTTTCCCTGACTCACTGGCCTTGGGATTGTAGGCTGACACTCCCCTGATCCATGTCTAAAATCCATATATGAGTGAGTGCAAACCATATTTGTTCTTTTGTGACTGGGATACTTCACTCAGGATGATTTCTTCTAGTGGCGTATATTTGCTTGCAAATTTCAAAATTCCCTTGTTTTGTTTGTTTGTTTTTTTACACTTCTGAGTATTATTCCATTGTGTAAACGTACCACATTTTCTCTCTCCCCTCTTCAGTGAGGGGCATCTAGGTTTCTTCCAGGATCTAGCTATTACAAATAGAATTCTCTATTTAGTTCATTCTCCCACTTTTTAATTGGGTCCTTTGGTGTTTTGGAGAACAGCTTCTTGAATTCATTTAAATTTTGGAGAACAGCCTTCTGTCAGATGTGGGGTTAGTGAGTATCTTCTCCCAATCTGTGGGTTGCCTTTTTGTCTTGCTGACTGTGCCCTTTGCCTTAAAGAAGCTACCTAGTTTCAGGAGGTCCCATTTATTAATTGTTGATCTCATTGTTTGGGCTACAGGAGTTATGGTCAGGCAGTGGTCTCCTGTACCAGTTCGTTCAAGAGTACCTAACACTTTCTCTTCTACCAAGTTGTGTGTGACTGGTCTTATGTTGAGGCTTTGATCAATTTGGACTTAAGTTTTGTGCATGGTTATAGACATGGATCTATCTGCTGTCTTCTACATGCCAATAGCCAGTTATGCCAGCACCATTTTTTGAAGATGCTATCTTTTTTCCATTGTATAATTTTAGTTTTTTGTCGAAAATCAGGGGTTCATAGGTTTGTGAATTAATCTCAGAGTGTTCAGTTTGATTCCATTGGTCTGCCTGTCTATTTTTGTGCCAGTACCAAATTGCTTTCAGGACTGCAGCTCTATAATAGAGCTTGAAGTCTGGAATGGTGGTGCCTCCAGATGCTTCTTTGTTGAGCATGGTTGTTTTGGCTATCCTGGGTCTTTTGTTTTGCCATATAAAGTTGAGAATTGTTTTTTCAAGGTTGTGAAGAATTGTGCTGGGATTTTGATGGGGATTGCATTGAGTCTGTAGATTTCCTTTGGCAGGATGGCCATTTGTACTACATCGATCCTACCTATCCAAGAATTTGGGAGATCTTTCCATTTTCTGGTGTCTTCATGATTTCTTTCGTTAAAGACTCAAAGTTCTTGCAATACAGGTTTTTCACTTGTTTGGCTAGCATTACCCCAAGGTATTTTATCTTGTGTGTCGCAATTGTAAAGGGTGATGTTTCTCTGATTTCTTTCTTAGCTCTCTTATCTTCCGTATATAGTAGGGCTACTTATTTTCTTGAGTTGATCTTGTATCCCAACACTTTGATGAAGGTGTCAATCAGCCGTAAGGGTACTCTGGTAGAGTTTTTGGGTCACTTATGTAAACTATCTTATCATCTGCAAATAGTGAAAGTTTCACCTCTTCCTTTCCTATTCGTATCCCCTTGATCTCCTTTTGTTGTCTTATTGCTCTAGCTAGAACTTCGAGTACAATATTGAAGAGGTATGGGGAGAGGGGCAGCCTTGTCTTGTTCCTGATTTTAGTGGAATCGCCTTGAGTTTCTGTCCATTTAGTTTGATGTTGGCTGTTGGTTTGCTGTTTATAGCTTTTTTCTCAAAGTCCAACTCTTTGTTACATTGATTCTTTGTCTTGTTTTCCTAGTTTCTGCTTTATTGATTTAGCCCTCAATTTGATTTTTACCTGGCATCTACTCGTCCTATATGAATTTGCTTCTTTGTGTTCTAGAGCTTTCAGGTGTGCTGTTAATTCTATAATATAACTATTCTCCAGTTTCTTAATGCGGGTAGCTAGTGCTATGAAATTTCCTCTTAGCACTGCTTTCAAAGTGTCCCATCCCATAAGTTTGGATATGTTGTGTGTTTATTCTCATTGAATACTAGGAAGCCTTTAATTTGTTTTTTATGTATTCTTTGACCCAGAAGTGGTGCAATAGCTCATTTATCAATTTCCATGAGTTTGTAGGGTGCCTGCAGTCTGTGATGTTGTTGAACTCTCACCTTAAATCATGGTGATCTGATAAGATACATGCAGTTATTCCAATTTTTTGTACCTGTTGAGTTTTGCTCTGTTGCCAAGGATGTGGTCAGTTATTGAGAAGCTTCCCTGTGGGGCCGAGAAGAAGGTATATTCTTTTGTGCTTGAATGGAATGTTCTATAGTTGTCTGTCAAACCCAATTGGGTCATAACTTCTATTAGTTCCTTTGTTTCTTTGTTAAGTTTTTGTCTTGTATTCCTGTCTAGTGGTTAGAGTGGGATGTTGAAGACCACCACTCTAAATGTGTGAGGTTTTATTTATGGTTTGAGTTTAGGTAATGTTTCTTTTACGAATGTGGAGGCCTTTGATTTGGGGAATAGTTGTTCAGAATTGAGACTTCATCTTGGTAGATTTTTCCCGTGATGAATATGAAATGACCTGTTCATCTCTTTTTATTGATTTCAGTTTAAAGTCTAGTTTGTTAGATATTAATATTGCTACCCCTGTTTGTTTCGTGGGACCATTTGATTGGAAAATCTTTTCCCAACCCTTCATTCTGAGGTAATGTCTGTGTCTGAGGCTGATGTGTGTTTCTTGTATGCACCAGAAGGATGGGTTCTGTCTTTGAATCCATTCTGCCAGCCTGTGCCTTTTTATTGACCAGTTAAGACCATTAATATTGAGAGATATTAATGACCTTTGATTAGTCATTCTCATTTGTTTTGGAATGGTTGTTGGTGGTGAAATTGTATGTGTATTTCCACCCCTTTTCTGTTTTTGGGTGTTGGTAAAGTGGAATTATCTATTTTCTATGTTTTTCTGGTTGTAGCTAACTTCCTTGGAATGGAGTTTTCCTTCAAGAACTTTCTGTAGGGTGGGTTAGTGGATATGTATTGTTTAAGTCTGGTTTTGTCATGGAATATCTTGTTTTCACCCTCCGTAGTGATTGAAAGCTTTGCTGAGTATAGTAGTCTGGGCTGGCATCCGTGGTTTCTTAGTGTTGATAGAGTATGTATCCAGAACTTTCTGGCTTTTAGAGTTTCCATGGAGAAGTCAGGTGTAACACTTATAGGATTGCCTTTATATGTTATTTGGCCTATTTCCTTAATTGATCTAAGTATTCTTTCTTTATTCTGTATGCTTGGAGTCTTGATTATTATGTGGCAAGGGGACTTTTTGTGATCCACTCTATTTGGTGTTCTGTATGCTTCTTGTACCTTCACTGGCATGTGTTTCTTTAGGTTTGGAAAGTTACCTCCTACGATTTTGTTGAATATGTTTTCTGTCCCTTTGAGTTGGGTTTCTTCACCTTCTTCTATACCTTTATTCTTGGGTTTGGTCTTTTCACGGTGTAGCATATTTGCTGGATATTTTGTGTTAGGGGTTTGTTGGTCTTAAGATTTTCATTGATTGGTGAATCTATTCTCCTAGTGTGTCTTCAACACCTGAGATTCTCTCTTCCATCTCTTGTATTCTGTTGGTTATGCTTGCATCTGTAGTACCTGACCATTTCCCCAGTTTTTCTATTTTCAGCATTC